TATATATATATTGGTATTATATATATATTGGTATTATATATATATATATGTAAATACCAATCAATCCAACGTGTGTATGCAAACTCATTGCAAGCAATAAAAGCAGTTGAAATTTCTCCAGAGCTTAGCCATATGCAAAAATTGTGCTCCTGATCGCCTTCTCAAATTTCTTCTGATAAATACGCAAACTACACATACTGTCTGATAATTTATCTATAAACGAGATGGTAGATACTGTGTGCTTGGATTTGGAACTTTCAGTTAATCATTCTTCTATCTATTCCTTCACAACGTCAGCACTAGATCGATTGATCGACTAGTACCAATGTTTTGCAATTTATAACTGATGCCATTTTGCACAATTCAATTTTTATCTTGACAGTTGAGGTCAAACACATTCATTCCCTTCTGTTCTCTCTCCCTCCTCTTTGTAAGCATCACTATCACAAATTGTCTTTAAATGAGAATGAATTCCTCTCTCATTGAGTTTAACGACTGGTTTAGCTAGACACGCATAGACACGTGAAACTCATGCTTGTTGCAATTACAGTTTTCATCATTTTGTCTTGGTTACATAACTTTAGTTTCTTATGCTTAGTAAATCAAAGCAAATATTTGGTATGAAAGTGGTATTTATGAATACGAAACAATAATTGCTAGCAAAATTTACTCGTATTTGCTGTGCTAATATATAGGCATATTATTTGTTTACAGATGATACATAAAGGACAGAGGCAATTCTGCACTGGTGATATCTGTTTCACGCTGGAGTAACAAGTTAGAGCAGTGACACCAAGCACTGATTTAATGCACATGACCAGTAGTAGTGCACACCCCACTGAGCTCTGCTCTGGGTATTCTGAATCCAGATCACCGCCATTTACTGTTATCGGGCAGGAAAGTGAGGAAACCGAAGATCGCAAAACGAATTTGAAGGTTTTATTTTAATCTCAATCTTTAATGATCCATATATTTCGTTTGCAGCATTTTTTGCAGTGTATAATTTATATTGGACCCAAAATATCGATCACCACTTGCATTTCGCGCTGAGATGCAAGTGTCATACATTGGCAAGTACAAAAATGTTCGCCGTTCTATTTAATAATTGCTTACTTCTCATAAGTTATTGTTGGTAATTATGTAGCTGGTAGTTATTGTCGCTCTCGTTCGTAGATTATTTTCTTTTCATTTTTTGTGCGAATTACAATATCAGTAGGAAGATATTGAATTTTCTTTCTTATTCTTATTATCTTTGATATAGTCTGTGTTTTGCATCTTATCACTGTAGCATCTATATTTTCAGATCTCTTAATATATATCACGGGTGGTTGTCCACCCTATTTTCCAATTTTTTCAACGGTATTGTCAAAATGAAATAAATTTTTTTAAATTAGGAAAAAAAACTAAACCAATTAACGAGAATTGAATGGAAAATTAATTAAGTTGTTGTTTTTTCAGAAGCAAAAACGGGAATATCGTGATGAGAAGAAGCGAGTCATGCGAGAATTGCTCACAACTTTGCATGGTCCTACAATTGTCGTTATGGCGGACTGGCTCAAATTTCGTGGAACTTTAAGGAAATGGAACCGTTATTTTTGCATATTAAAACCTGGTTTACTTCTCGTTTATAAGAGTAACAAAGTAAACAAGGTACATCTTTCATGAACTCGTACTGAAAACTTGTGTATGCTGTATAAAAAAAATGAAACAAATGTACATACTTCTAGATGGTATTATTCGTCAGTTTTCATCACTGTAAGTAAATTAAAGTTGGTTGAAAGTGATAATTAAGCATGATGTTCTCTGTTCTGTATTATAGAGTTTTTTAAAAAGCATACACTCGATCTTTTTCGTCAACTTTTTTCAAAACTTTTAAATTCAAGAAAGTAATTTGTTGGTGATTTCAAGACTAGTAACGATTTGTTTGTATTTTCTAGCAAGGCTACTGGATTGGTACAGTATTGTTAAACAACTGTGAGCTAATTGAGAGACCATCAAAAAAAGATGGATTTTGTTTCAAACTTTTTCATCCAATGGACCAAAGTATTTGGGCTACTCGTGGGCCGCTGGGTGAAAGTCACGGAGCTGTAACAATTCAACCTTTACCTACCACTTATTTAATTTGTCGAGCACCATCTGAGCAGGTGATCGGTATCTTATTGTTTTATACTTTTGATTCTGGCAGTGATTGACGTGATCCTTAGATTTTGCATTGAATTTATAATTTCGAAATTCTTTATGATTCCAAATATTCGGGTTTCAATTTGGTTGCTTGAAGCCATATGATGCATAAATTTCTGTATATTTTGATTTTATCTGTAGGTAGGCAGCTGCTGGATGGATGCTTTACAACTTTCTCTTCGGTGCAGTGGTCTGTTAATGCGAACTATGTACAAAGCAAGTTTTTATTTGTGTATGATATCTAATTAATCAAAATCAATGTAAGAAAAAGTTAAAAGTGATAGATTAAGTAACTTCTGACTTCATTACAAGTAATTATTCAAATATCGAGAAAAAATGTGCCAAACTATTCAAATTTACATCTAGTTTGTAATGCATAGTTACATTTATTATTTGCTATCAAAATAAAACTTCTTTGTCATGAATTTAGCCTTCTGATTTTGATCAGAAAGAGGAATCGATCACAGATGAGCAGCAAGAATTTAGTGAAAGTTCGTATAGTAATGTTGCTGACAGGTTTTTGGAATTCAGTGAAATCGAGGCCGAAAAGCATTTTGATGGTGAGGAACTCAGTTTTTCTATTACCATTGTTATTTAAAATTCTCATATTAAAATCATAATGTGGAGCTTTTTGCAGCTCGTGCCCCTAAATTGTAGCTTTCAGTAAACGACGACACACTATTCTTTTCTTGTAAATTAATATAAAGAATTTTGATCAAGGATTGAATGATAATATTGGTCATGCGGCATCTGATACTGATACGGGAACAATTGAATATGAAAGAGAAAGCACGTACATTCCATCAGATCCAGAGCAGGTTTATTTTCTTGCTGTCTTCACTAATCATTTCAGCATCACAAAATAAGTTTGAAATGTAGTTGTAACAGGGATAAAAATCAGCAAAAAGAAATGTTGCTGTTTTTTGAATGAATTAATAATTTCTGGAAATTATTTTAGTTTGGTCCTACAGTTCAAACTGAAGATCTTGTTGAAGAAAATAAAAGCCTTGTATGGAATTTACTGAAGCAAATAAGGCCGGGAATGGATCTTTCCAAAGTTACATTGCCGACGTTTATTTTGGAGCCGCGTTCATTCCTAGAGAAACTTGCAGATTTTTATTACCATTCATATATCATCGCAGAGTAAGTAATTAAATTTTTTGCATTGAGGCTTCGTTATTTGATTTTATTAAATTTGTTGGTTGGTTATAGAATTCATTAAAATATAGGAGTAGTAATTTCATCTGCTCGTTTCATCCAGCTCTTCCGCTTCTGAAGACAAGTTCATTGCTTTCTAACAATAATAAACTTCATTTCAGAGCAGCTGTTGAAAATGATCCACTGCAAAGAATGAAGACTATAATAAAGTTTTATTTGAGTGGATTTTACAAGAAACCTAAAGGTTTGAAAAAGCCGTACAATCCTATTCTAGGTGAAACATTTCGATGTAAATGGGAGCACCCTGATAATTCAACATCTTATTATATTGCAGAACAGGTTTCTGACCACACCAAGTTTTCACTGGCTTTTTTTTGATACTATAGTTATTGTAGTGAATTCTTAACCTGTTAAAATCTTTTTTCTTGTTCACACTATAATTTTTATGGTGAATTGTTTTACTTGTTCAAATATTGTTCACAGTTATTCATTTCCTTATACTTGAATAGTGCATAGATGAGGTGTGTGTGTGTATTATAAATTTAATCTAGCTGCGACTATCATTTTATCAATTTTCTTGTATACATGTTTATTTCATTCCAAAGCTGACATGGGATCAAATTACATTTTTTATCTCATGTTTGCTAGAAAGTGATCTTTTGAATTAAATATTATTGTATTAGGTCTCTCATCATCCACCAGTTTCGGCTCTTTTTCTTACAAATCGGAAAGCAGGTTTCAATGTAGCTGGTACTGTGCTAGCGAAGAGCAAATATTACGGAAACAGTTTATCAGCCATGATGATCGGTGATGTTCGAATAACTTTGCTACAACTGGAAGAAACTTATAGTGCTACTTTACCATATGCCAATTGTAAAGGTTTAATGATTGGCTCACTGTCAATGGAGTATGGTGGTCAGGTTAACATTTTTACATTTGTGGTCTTAATTTTCTTATTTAATTTCTGAATTTGTGGATTTCAAGGAGTTTGAAGTTTATGTCATACACAAAAAAAGTGTGTTCAGATTTTTTTTTCTGCTTCGCTCTATTTTTAAGGCTGTAAAAATTATTCGATTTTAATGTTATCTGGATATATTTTTACTTTCAGGTGAGAATAGAATGTAATCGAACAAATTATGTTTGTGAACTTAATTTTAAATTAAAGCCTTTCATCGGAGGGATGGTAAATTCTATTTTCGGTGATATTAGGTACGGAAAAGAATCAGTAGCCCATATTGAAGGAACATGGGACGGCGAAATCTTCATTGTTGAGAAGGTTAAGTTCATCGAATAAAACTAATTTTACTGATGAGTTGGTATTTTTCACTGAAATTATGCTTGGAATTAATTTATCATCAATCAAAATCTTGTTTCTTTTATATTCAGGTTCAGAGATAGTATTTAGTACATGACGAGTTTTAAGTCAGCGTGTTGTAGTATTTTGAACTCATAACATTCTCCTATCAGCTTCTTAGAAGTGTTACAATCTTCTCATCTCTGATGAATAATTAGACAAACATTAATAAGTCATATATATTTAAAACCATGCCTTTATATTTGTTGTCTCAAACTGTTTCTCTTGAAATCTAGTTTTCAAGGGGGTCATTCAGGATGTAAAAACACTTCTATGGGCACCGACACCTGCCGAAATAGCAAAACGACTTAAACGTTACGAAATTCCTTTGACGGAGCAGAGTAAATGGGAATCCAAGAAGTACATTTTGTATAAATTAATCAGTTTATGTTTTACTTGAATTTTCAAAGGCTATTGAAATTTTAATTCAGCTTTCTCTAGCTCTTCTATTGAATTAAAAACTTACAAACTCCATGATCTAGGCTGTGGTCAAAAGTGACTGACGCGATCATTCTAGATGATCAGAAGGCTGCAACAGCAGAAAAAAGCAAATTAGAAGATGAACAACGTGCTCGTGCAAAATTAAGTGCACACTACAAACCTCGCTGGTTTAAACAAGATCCGTTGTTAAAAAATTACGAATATATATATGCCGAGTTAGTTAGTTTATTTGTTTGTTTGCACTCAATTTTAAATTTATGAACGGAAGAGTTATTATGTAGTCATAAATTGAATATGTGTGCAAATAGAAAAATTGCAGTCTTTACTGCTATTTGTAAAAAGTTTACACATTTCAACACTATAATCATATGGATATAAATAAAAGCAGGCTTCGCTATTTGAAAATGCTTTAGATATACTTGTCCTTAAACTTGTTATACTTTGGTTCCATTAATTCGAAAACTGTTCAGTGTTAGTTTCACACAATCCCTTTTTTAAGAAGTCTTTGTTTAGTTACCAACCGTGGGATGAAAATGATGATATTCGTCAAGTTGAGCATGAATATGTCATACGAACGAAAACTAAACATGGCACTAAAGAACGGTCTGCATCGCCTTCAAGCTCTACTTCAGTGCAGCAAGAGCAATCTGATGATTCCGATTCGCTGAGAAGTATGTTATCTTCATCAAATTGAATGAACTTTGTGATCAATTTATATCTGAAAGTAGCATTATTGAACTAATCAAGAGATTTCGTGAGCAGCAAGAACGTTAGAGTGAATTGTTTTTGTTTAGCTAGCTTGAAGCTTAATCCTACTCTATTGAGACGTAGGTTACCATCAACTAAATGTTGAAACTGATTAATTTATCCCCTAGATTGAACAAAAATTTTTCTAGGTAAACGACAACGCTTGAAAAAAGGATCACTCAGTTCACAGGACTGTGCTCGCTTACAACAAATACAGGTGAGATTAATTTTCTGCATTCTTAATCTCAGGCAGTTGGACTTTTTAAAACATCATTTACAGCAGACAGATATTTTGTTTTACTTTTTTGCTTCGACGGCAACTTAGTATTTATGATTTATATCTGCAATTAGCTTATATATACATTCTTGTGCCTAATTGAAGGAAACTTTGGATCGTTCAGTACATTTTTTGCAACGTTTGGAAGAACGCATAGAAAATAGAACTGCTGTTGCCGTAACACAACAACAACTGATCATTATCATAGTTTTTTTTTCATTTTTCCAAGTTATTATTTTGCCTCTTCTTTTCGGGTCATATAAAGCTCTATAAATCATTTATTTGGAGATTTAGTATTGTTTATCCGAAATTATTTTATTTTTGCTTCCTCATCATCGGATAAAACAAGAAACGTAAGAAACTAAACAGTTTCAAAATATTGGTATACTTTTTTCTCAAAATCGCGTTAGAAAGGAACAAATTCATCTTTATACAGGTCTGCAATTATATTTTACGTCATTATGAAATGAATTTTGCGAATACACGAGTCTTTAAAGCTCTCTCCAGTATTTAAATTGTTGCTCTTGAAAGGAATCTCATGAATACCCGAACTCTCCTTGAAGTCATGGCATGTCCATGATTAGATTTAATTACTGGTAAAAGTGTCATTTTCAAATTATTTACATTAAATAATCATTTATTAATACTTTAAATAAGATCCTTGCCTGAATCTCAAAAGACTTGTTTGTGTTGATTTTGTGACATAAGAATGTCTTTTCTCATACTTTTTCTTACTGGTATTCTGAATATGTTTGTGGCAATGCGATTATTCGACTTTTAGTATTCAGAGAATTTAATTCTCTTACAATATTGGATACATTGTTTACACAAATGTTCTGAGATTACTCATTTATTAGCATTAAAAAATGTGCAGTAATTGAGACGTATACAGATTACAAATTGTAAATTTCCTTTTTTGTTCTCTGCTAACCTGACGTGAAGTCATGTCGTGAATGAAAAAATTAAGGAATTAACGAATTTCTAGAATTTAAAAAAATAATTTTTTTTGTTTGAGTGAGATCGTGTCTGTCAATCACAGTTTGTTAGATGAAACTAATACCATTTATTAAGTGTTCGCACAAATTCTTGCGCATCCTTATCCTCCTTTCGGCTCATTAAAACCGCAGTAGCTGCATTTTCTGAAACAAAAATTCATTTAGAATCGCATACGATTGGGTCATTTTTCCAATTGTCCTTATTGAATATTAGCTATATCGTAAATGCGTTTGGTGGCATGCCTTTGAATCCGATACCTGTTTTATTTATTATGTGTAAATCAACAAAAGTAACTTGCCTTTCCTTGAAGGATGTATGAGAATTAGATTGAATTGTCGAAGTGCAGAACCAACATTGGTATTTATGCCTGGAACATCAGCGAGATCTAAGAATGCTTCACCAGCAAAGTCGTTTGATCGCAAAAAGTCATGATCCATCACAATAAAATGCACCATAGCACACTGTGGTACTTTACTTGAAATATGACTAAAACATGATTGCATTGACAACAATTTTACAGATTTACATGCTCCACACAAGACATTTTTCTTATGAAGTAGTCCAAAATATACTCTGCCTACTTCATAAAATCTGTAGGCAGCCGACTGATATGAAGTAAACTGTTGCAGCAGTTTCAGTAGAAGCTTAGGTAGAATAAATTTTAAAATAGTCAAGCATATAAAGGAGTGGTATTTCAGTTTACAGTAAAGAAATAGATATTTGCGATTTCAGAGCGTACGTCTACTTCACTAACTTAACAGTTAGTCGAATTTTAATTTTAAAGTGAATGAACAGGGCGGGGACAAAGAGCTATTTCACAGTTTGCAAATAAGCTACTAAAAAAAACAGAACTTGTTTATAAACTTACAATTCAAATGTTTCATCGAAAATTGGATTGAGGCTTCTGCTAACAATGCGAGTTTTCATTACAGGTTTCTGACGATAATATATGCGAGGAACGAGTTCAATGATAACGAACGGATCGCTCAGTCCATTAGTATCTAATGGTATAACTTGCTTTGCTCCCAAGACTAAAAAATTTTCAGAAGATAACTGTAACTTTTTGCTGACTCATTCACTCAACTCTAGTACATTAATTAATAGTCCTTGCAAGAATAAAAATATAATTTAGTCGTTAAGAATCATATCAAGTTTAATAAACTTACCATCGACTACCAGCGTCTGCGAATTGTTATTGTAATATGCTCGAACGTTCAATATTCCATATTTGCATTCAGTAGCTTCGTTCTAAGCAGCTTATAGTCGTAGAATAATAAGCATTAATTTTAGATACTTCATGATTTTTATGACAGTCTTATGCTTAAACTTAACAACTTAAACAATGATAAGATTCTTCAAGATAACTAGTCACTAGTTACTAGTTTCTAAAAACATTCCAGACAGTAGTTTTTTCAAAAATTATCCAATTTATGATATGAAAAAAAGTATAGTGCCAACTCACCTGTTCTTTTAGTAAAGAATGATAATACTGTTCAATTAAATGTGATGTTGCAGACTGATTCATGGTTAAAGCCGATACTAAATTCTGGAAATAAATTATGATAGAAACTTTCGAATAAACGGTTAAAATCACGATTCATATGCCGTTCTACTAAAAGTACCTGATAATCAGAAAAGCGCTCGAATGTTTCCATTGGTATACCTTTACCATTTGCATGGAAAAAATCAACCAGAATTGTTATGGCATCAGATAATCGTTGATAAAAGACTGTATCTAACTGCAGTAATATATAGAAAAAAAGGCACTGGAACATTTTTAAGAACTATATGTCCAGAATTTAAGTCTTCAAGTTTTTCAAGAAAGCTGGTCTTAAAAAGATCAGCTCAGAATCAACATAAGTTAGGAGATAAAATGATAAAATTACTTTAGTCTCAGCCATCAAAGCCAACTAATATCTGCAATTTAGTCCTAACTTCAAGTCCAGTCAAAGTTTAATTTCTTCACCCCATTTATTCCATTATCATACGGCTAAACTTTATTTAACGGAATAGTATGAAGTCATGTCATGCAAGATGCGTTCACATTACATCATCATGACTTGAACAAAAAAATGTAGAAAATAAGTCTATATAAGCATAAACTTAGTAATGAATTAGCAGTTGCATTATTTACATAAGTGCTTTCAATTAACTTTAATCATAACGACAAATGTTTTAGTTTCCTAAGCAATATTATTAAAAAATATCTCGATTATTCTTGTTTCGGAAGAAAAAATAAGGAATAATTGAAATTTGCTTCCTGCACTTACGCCAGGATTTTCATTCACACATCCTTGTAAGAGAGGTACAATAGCATTAAATTGACTCAGCATTACTCTTGTGAAATTTTTATGAAGTAATGCCCGATGCAATGAAGTGAGCTCAGAGTCCAACTGAAAATTATGACTGCATGAAATTTTAATGCGAAAGAAAAGAATAATTCATTTCACTGGTGAAAGAGTTATTTATTTCACTGTAGTTAATATTTACTTAATTTTTGCTGACCATATTTGACTGACTATTAATTAAATATGCAAAAGAGCTTTTGAAAAATATCAATGCTACGCTTCTTTTGCAATACACTATTTTAAAACTGTCAAATAAGAGACTAACCATGTCGGTAAGCGGTTTAATGGCAGTTTCAATAGGACAAGCAGAAGGACTCCAAGCTAAATGAAAAACATGCTTTTTGAATTGTTTATCAAGCCGTTTTGTGAAACGTTGAATTGTTGCAGCTATTTGTGTACTTATGTAGTGGTCACATTCGTCAAGTTCATGCTCAATTTTTTGCCTCCAGTCGGAATTTGACTAGAATCCAGGAGCAGTTGAAATGGAGAAATTCATATGTAGTAAATTATTTGAATACAAAATAAAAATAAGGCGTAATTTTTTCTTTTGCAAATTCTTTTTAAATCTGAATTTTTACGACAAACACATATGAGTTCTGTAATTCGATTACAAAATGTTCGCCTCTAGCATATTACCCCAGAAAGTTTATACTGCAAAGTATTGAGATCATCAAGACGTAATTTGCTATGAATCATTAAACCACGTCGTGCTTGTTCTGCATTGTTGATTGCACAGCAAAACTATAAATTAGATTATTAAATCACTTTAAATAATAGAATAGTACAAACAAATACAAATAAACATTTTTTTACTATTCTATAACTACTCAAAAAATTTTAATTTTGGAAAGTTCAGAAATTTCATTTTGTAAATGAATTAAACAAAATGTTCAAACCATATTAAGCAATGCAGTTGGTAAAAATTCTTGTAAATCGCTACAAAATCCATCGCATGCTAGGTGTACAAATATATGATCAACATAGTATTCAGCAATTTTACAGATACTTTGTATAATCTTGCTCGTTAAATCAATACGAGCACGAATATCTGATACTCTCATCCGTTCCCATGTAAAAATGATCTATGAGCAGAAAGAGTATTCATGATTTTCAATTAAGAAATCTGATCTTTTCAAACATTTGATGTGTGCGGATGTATTCTATTATAGTAAACGATTGAGTACTTTAAAATATGTTTTACGAATGAAATTAGCGATATATTAGTGGGATTATTCAGTTCTATTTTATTAAAATATGAATATATGAATTAAAGTTTAGTGCATAATAAATCTTTGAAAATAGGACGCAGGAAATACTGAGTTTAAGTAATACTTCTACGCTTTAATGCTTACTGATGTCAGTTTGATTAGTCACCAATAATAAATGAAAATTTGTGCAAAAATTAAAGAAACTTTGCAAACCTTCTCAATCATGTGACAAATATCAACATAAGATGATGTCTGTTTCACTGCGCTATTGGTTCCCTGTATCTAAAAGTGATGATAGTTAATCACTGTTACTGTTAATTACAGCTCTTTACCAGTTTGAAGAATTTTTGTCTATACAAAAATTGAACAGTCAAATGAGAACAATTTTTAGATTTGTGAGGTATATTGTGAAATATTTCAATGATTCAGTAACATACGCTAACATCGAGCTGACATGCGAGATCTACTCTAACAAATGCTCGAACTCGCACAAGATCAACCCATTTCGATATCGCCTTATCAAATATGTAACCCAAATCATCAGCATCCGTATCATTCCTAAGTAATGGTGCAAAACTGATACTTTAATAACGCATGACTGACTTGCATTCTAAACATGTGTACCAAAAACTTTAAACCATTTACTAATACTGCAAAAGTAGGATGAAATATCGAATGAACCATCTTGAATAATGTTTGATCAAGATTTAATCCACAAAATTTCACTATAAACCAATATTACAGCATGACTATTTGACCATTTTACCTTCTGTTGAAGGTAAAATTTTGGAGGGCAAAACTAGAGTACATATCATTATCGACTACAGAATAAATAAATGGGTTTTTACTGCACATTTCCTAATCTAGTAACAAAGTAAAAAAATAATAATAAATACGAAAAGGATAATAGCTTCACTGTTTTTTCAGTTAAAAAGCTACAATTAAAAGTGAGCCTGAAGTCAATTTATTGTTAATAAATTTGATCTAAGATGATCACTTTTAATTTAGTTATTGAAAAAATTTACTTTCGATCTGGATCATGATGTATTCTGAATTCATTTAGTGCAAGATGAATTTTTATTAACAAAACCAACGATCTTCCGTTGTCATCATCTTTCTTTACTGCTTCTATCAGCTAAAAGCAATAAATCAAAAAAGTGACATTTGGTCAAGAACAGATACGCCTGCTTAAACTCAAATGATAGATGGAAACTGACCAAGCTTTTAAGATCGTACGCATTTTCACTCATCAGTTCTGAACAGAGATATTCACTCAGCTGAAATTTTATGTTTTCTGAAATTTCTTAATTGTCTTTTCTCGTTTAAACATGAATATAGAGAATGTAAGAATGTTAGGTTTATCTAAAAATTAGAGACAAAAATCGAGTGTTATCAAAACCACTAAATCGAAATTTACTTGCTGTTTTTTTTTGTGAACTAATATTTCATGCAGTGAAAAGTAACATATAGTAATTCCATTAAAATCATTCAAATAAACGAAGTGATGCGTCAAAATAAGTAAAGCTGTTTAGAGCAATCAAACGAACTAACCAATCTTTTAAACTGGACATAAGTGACTGACGCATAATCAACACCAGTTAATGTTTTGAATAGAGATGTATAGGCTGGAAACATTAAGCAAGCTGAATTTAAAAAATTCAACAGACGCAAAAACTCAACGCATGCGTCCTGTAATGAAGAATTTTATGCTTAAGGATGAAATAAATAACTATTCTATCATTATTATCAACCTGTAATTCTCTGACATTAACTTAAGCAAACAAAATTTCGGCCATATTGGGGTGTTTCAAGTTTTAGGAACAAAAATTTAGAATGTCAGAAAATGTAATAAATAATTTTGTTTTTGTCGCCGTACATTCATTATGTTTTCATGAAATTTTGTGATAAGGACATGAAGCATACAAAAAGACCGTACTAAACAGAAAAAGATTCAGTTATATGACGAAATAGAAATACAGAATCTAAAAATAAGCTAAATTAGTTATCGAATTTGAAAATTAATAACCTCATTTCTGGCGTCTTGTAGAGCTTCTTTGAAAAAGCTTTCTGCCGATCTCTAGATCAAATATGACACTAGATATAACTTATGACGGAAAAAAACAGATAAAAATTTGGCTTAAAACACATAGATTTCTTTTCTGATCATTTTTATAGCTTTTATCAACAGCCTAATGATTAGCAAGCTGTAAAACTATATATGTGCTAAAAATGACTGCATTACAAATAAAACGTACGAAAAAGTTGAAATTAATAAGAAAAAGATAAACCTCAAGCAATGTCGAAATGGTTACTTTAAAATACCGTTCACATGGAAAACATTTTTCAAATAGCTGACTTTCTCGCATCAATTTGAAACATCTAAAAAGCACCGTCAATAGTGCAATATTTTTGATGCAATAAAAAATTCATGACTGTTCGAATTTTATCGAATCAAACGAAGTAATACCTAAGTAAATTCGTTAATAAATCAATTGAAGTATGCTTTTTAGCTGGAAATCGTCGTCTGTGATCAATAATAGCTATTCGGCAGTGATTATCAAAGGTAATTAGCGAATCGCATAACATATTTTCTTCATCCTCAAAAAAGCTAACTTCACTAATAGTGGTAAAATTTGGAGTATGATTCAAAAATTATGAAATCTCATTATTTCATTCCTTTTTTGACGACAAATAAGTTCATGAGATTACCGTATAATTATAGCTCATGAAATTTTTTTCTGTTCTAATCTCAAAATCTTTATCTTCATTATTGTAACGATTAGTTTATCCATCCATCATCCTCCTATTTTAAATTCAACTGCTTAATTCGATGATTTGAAATGAATAAACGCTAAATCTGACAAGTTGATATTAGTAGCCAAGCAATTTAGTAGAAAAATTTGTTATCAACTGAAATCACATTTAAGTTTTTTTATGAATCTTTCGAATATTTCTATGTGGCTTCAGAAAATTTGAATTTTTTGCGAAAAAAAAATTGTCACCTTTTCAATGATGAGTGGTTCCCATTTTGCAATCAAACGCGACAATACAGTCGTTAACAAGGTATATGAAAGGCCAATGTGCAACATTGCACTGTATGCTAGCCAATAACTGAAACTTTTTCAGTAATAATAAACACCGGTAAAAAATGAAAATAAATTATGATATATGTAAAATAAGAACCGCCAAGAAACATAAATTAAGTGATAAAGGAATTTCATAATTTCAATATTTTGACATACCAAAGAGCTTCATGAAGCTCGATTAAGTCTCCTTGTATAGCATGTTGATGAAGAATTGAGTGCGCTGTTGCTGGTAGAGATCCAGAAAATGCCGCTACCGGTATCTGATTATTTATAGATATAAAATTGTAAACAACTGCTTTCATTCATTACAAATTAAGATTTATAACGTGCAAATTTTAAGTTGATTTTCAACTTATAAAATACAAATGTAAAAATGTAAGAGTAATGCTGATATAGCTGTGATATAAGTCAGTTAAATCTAGTTTCCTCGATAGATTGAGCAGACCATTTTTCTGCGGGTCGTGAACAAATTTTGAGAACTATGAACGATATGTCATGTAAACCGATTAATCTAATCTTTTTATCTGTTATCAAAATTTATATAATTTGAAAAATATGCTATTGACTGACTTCCCGGATTTATTTTACATCTCGTTGTAGTTGACTAGATCATGCTCAGAAATATGAGGTGAATTGAAAAAAGATTGGTTGATTTAAATTATCTTCAATTTTTGTATGAAGCGCGAACTTCATCATTATTCACTGGTAAAATTATTGTTAAATATTTATGGAATAACTTTTCAAATTATATGCTACATGCTATTTATATCAAAAATAATCTGAGTAAACTTTTTTCAATAATTTTGTCCATGATTGCAAACTCTATAAATATTCGCTTGGAAAAAAAATTGATTTAATGAATCCATTTTTAATTTCAGATGTGTTTAACATTATTTTAACTCACTTTCGAACGCCTGATTTCATGAATTGCAAACTGCTGTATCAAACCAACATGCTGCTTTACATCCGTAGTAACATCATCACTTCTTTCATTCCTTTCTTCTTTTGTACTTAACCAAAGCTGAAAATGAATACTAAACTGCATCGATAATCATAATTTGATTGCAAAAATAAGTTAGATGAAAATTGAAGAAAAATTAATTTCAATGAAAATTGAAAGCAGCATCAAAATTTATGCCTTCAGCTTCACTTGTCCAGAAACTTCAGATCGTTCGGACCGTTTCTCTAAAGTAAACCAGTTTTCAATACCAGTAGACGGTATGTCCTGAAATGAACTCTTTATTGTGAAAATTGTTGCAGAATAGCAGCAGGGAAGCTTTATCATTAATTAAAGTCGACAAGATGTAGAAACGTACGTTATCAAAATAATGATATTCCATTTCAAATACAAAATGGGAAAATTTCATTAGATCTTGTTAATTAGTCAGTGATAGCCATTATTAGTATTGAACAAATATGTATGTTGGAAACTACTACCTTGCTGTTTTTGCGAATAAAATATTGAAAAACTATTTTTTCTTATCAAAAAACCAAAGATTCCAATAAGCCTTACTTTAATTTGCAGAGTAACACATCCAAGAAAGTCATCCGTGCAACCATCATTATCAGCACGTGCACTCTGTGTAACTTCTTTAAAATAACGTCCAAGACCTTTTAGACCCGAAATATGATTTAATGAACTGACAGCATCCATAACCGATTTCTCTTCGTCATCATGATCCCTTAAATATAAAAACTGCAAAAAATTTACTTTAATATGATAATAAGCAGTTTAAACATTTTTTATATCTTTAGCAAATTTACTATTTACCTAAACAAATGAAACTGCGCACACAAAACTCTTACCAAATATCCATGTGAAAACGATCAGCATTTACATCATCCACAATAAATTGAAATTTTTCATTCCACTTTGGATTTAGAGTTTTACGCTGTACTAAAGAAGCTTTGATCAATTTAGCGGGGATCAATCTAGCTTCATACTTTTTTTTTCTATTTCCAACACCCCCAAGTCTAAACGAACCACCAAAACGTTGAAATAGACTTCCAGATTGCCGTCGCTACAAAAAAAAAGGATGTTGGACTGTTACAATTTATTAATTTTAATAATAAAACAATCGTGTTCTTTTTCAGAATAAAAACAACTTCCTCAGTAAATATACAATATAATTTCAAAACCTGATAACCTTGTCAACAGCAGCTGACCGTGGTAATTTTGAACAATCAACATCAGAATTCGCTGTATCTTCACCATCCTCAAATAATTCTTTAGCTGCAGCCGCTGTCTCAGGTGAACCCATTTTACGATATATACTTGGTATAACACCCATCATTGAAAACGGATCACTAAAGCCTGAAATTAAACAGTCAGGAGTGATAATGAAAGTGCTACTTCTCATAGCAATACTTAATAATGAATCAGTCTCGGTTAATATGAAATAAATATCCTGAATATCTCAGAAGATTCATTTTTATACAATAATGTTTTCTTTCTAAGCAAAGTCATTCGTGAATAAAACAATTTTCTAACCAAAAGTAGAAAGCATTTATGTTTTATTTGCTTTTATGTAAAATTGAAAATATTTCATTAATTTACCAGCATATTTGCTACATGAAATTTCTTATGTCAGTACAAGTCTATAAAATGGATTAAATAAAACTTGCAACTTCCAATTTCCTAATTCTGATACCTATTATTAATTACATTGAATTGCAAGGAAATGAGACTACCATTTACATCCTTTGCAATCAGATCACGTGCTTCTAATAATAGAACATTCAGCAGAAATACTGGAGGCTGAAATTTGTCTATGAAAAAATTCTTATATTTGTAGTAAATTCACTACTGATACTTTTTATGAAAGAATCCTTGATGTTCGTAATCTCTACCAAAAAGAATATTTATAGATGGAGGAAAAAGCTGATTTGCTTATCGCTGATGAGAGAATGCATTGGAAAAAAAAGGTCCTTAATGATTATTTCAATATATTCGTAGAAAACAAGCAATTCCTCGATAATAACTGCCATATAAAATAAATAATATGACGAAGTTGACAACCTTCTCTTCTTGAGCTCGTAAAAGAAGTTGCTGATGTCGAATATCATCCATCTCAAATGCCTCTTGAACATATGATAAAAGCTGTTCATCAGGCACAGTTTGACATTTCCCAACCTTGTGGACAATAGTGTATAAAGCTTCCACATACAAATCCTAACAATACAGATAAGCAAAAATTTGAATGAAAACAATTCACATAAAACAATGAAATTAAATTAAATTTGGAAAAAAATAATTTTTTCCTCTCATAATTTTGCATCCAATCAAAGCACCTGCTACAATTTAATTAAACCCAAATGAACACTTGGAGAGAGCAGAGAGTTTAATTTTTTATGCTGGAGAATAAGTAATTAAGCAGTGTCAATATCGAAACTGATATTCTAAAGCTGTCATCGATACATGTAAGAACCAAGAGTTTTTAAAATTCTTAGACAAAAATTATGAAAAATCATAACATCAAGCATTCATATCATCACAAAAAGTTTGCAGTTTCTTTTTAGAAAGAAAGGAAGTGAAAATTAACATCAAGCACAGAAGAAAATTTTACTTCATATACTTGAATATCGCTGTAGACTTTAAAATTATTTAATTGCTCTTCATCGTCACCCGTTGCAACACTTTCAAGTACTGAAGACATTGTGGTGGTACTGACTCCAAACTGTTCGAAGAAGTATCCATCAGACGCTTGCACCCTATAAATTTCGCATCAACGAATTTGCTCAACCCCCTTCAAAATTTCAGCTTTTTTAATTTCTTAATTCTAGATGCAGTCGAAATTGATTATTTAGCTTTTGACATGTCTCTTTCTTACGATTTTTGTCATTTACAAATACCGCCAATAATCTTTTTCTATTTGTTTACGACCATATTAATCCATCACAGAAATATGTCATTTTTAAGACAGTGAATCTTTAATAAGTAAGTGTAATCGCCAGCATAGCTTTTTAGAGTGAATAAAGTAGATGAAGCGAAAACTATACAATAATCTAATCGAATTCTTAATAATTTACTCCAATTCTAATAATTTTAATCTCGACTCACTTTCACGCAAGATAAATTTTGATCACTTTCCTGTTTTAAATGCGCAGAAATCGAATAGAAAAATGGTTTGCAGCACGTTTGCCTGGTATTACTTATAAACAAAGCTATGAAATTATCATAGTGAGAAATAATGGATTCCTGGTAACTTGGTAATAACGATGACGAACTCACGAATATTACAAAGTGATTTCGGAAAATATTTAGTAGTAGGTTTCCAGTCCTTGGATTATTTTTGATTTAGGTGGGTAGAATACTGATAAGCTAATTGATAAAGCTGGAAGATTTTTTTTTGATTTTATGCAATCAAGAATTGAATATAAATAATCAAGTGCAAATTATTTTAAATTTCTTCATTGATCAAAATTTTCAATAATGATGAACAAATGTAGACTACTTGTTTAATTTTAGTTTGTTATTAAATTCTATTTCATTTCTATCTGGAGTACGGACAGAAACCCTTCTGCTACAAAAAGTTTTATCATCGAGGATAGAAGATATAGTTCAATTGCATGTTTGACCAATGATAATTTTAGTATAAACTTGAAGTGTTAAAAATCTAAAAATATTACGATAAAATTAATAAATTTTACAGTAATACTTAAAAGACGAAAATTTTGCAAAAACAAACGCCACCTTTTTTTGAAAAAAAAGTGCGAAATTCCTTTGGTAGTAGAATAAAGTTTGCCAACTTTATTCTAATAACTTTTTGAAAAAAAAAATTATCATTAGTAATTAGCATATTTAACGACTTGCCAGATTATTGTTCAAGCAAAAATAGCAGAAATAAGCGTGAGAGTTGAACTCATCAATCAGAGTAATTGGTGAGTTGCTGAGGTTTATTCAAAAAAGTCCAAAAAAATCAATTCATATGAAACTGCTTAACTGAATAAAAGATTCAATTGCCTATTTATTTAGCAGAAACAAAGATATTCAAGATTCTACATAACTCCTTTCAAATTCTGAATAATTCATATCCCATGAAATAAACGACGAGAAAACTCACAATTATATTCCCAATAATTCACTTTAATTCTAATGGTTGTAGTCAAGACTCACTTTACGAAAGGTAAATTTTGATTACTTCTCTGTTTTGAATGCGCAGACATTGCGTCTAAAGAAATTCTTATTTCAGTTCATTACATCGATAGTGTTTTTTCTTTACATTTATATTGCAGTGAATGTTATTTTACTGTAGACTGCATTCATAACAGATTCCAAATTCTTGAGAAATAAATAAATATTCATGTAATGTATTAACTTTGATCATATATTAATGGTCGTTATGACTCATTATTTCCATGGATTAAAAAACCCGATTAAAATAGTTGAACATACTCACTGTTCAAACACTTCAACTGGTGTTAACGCTGCTGAAAGCGATGCAGAACGAATAAATTCTGAAGCTCGATGGAACTGTCTTCCAGCCCATTCATGTACATTACGCACTCGTTCTGTTAATTTATTACGTTGTGATACACCATCCATCGGCTGGATTTCATGTACTGTAGAAATTTTGAGCAAAATTTTATAACGATTTCCGAAATATAATAAATGCTGTAGAATGGAGAAAAGTTACTTGTTAATTGGAATGAAATAAAAGCGAAGAATGACCTTGAAAAAGATTTTTGGAACTAATTAGTCTATCAGAAATAATGATAATAATAATAATAATAATAATGATAGAAAAATAAAGAAATTAAAAAACCTCTTCAACTATTGCAGATGACAGAAAAAGATAGGATAAGAAAATGCAAAAGTGAAATTTTGAAAATTCTTTAGAACACCAAATTTCCAAATCCTGAAGGTTTATTGAATTTCGTAATGAATGAAAAACGAATTGTTAAATTAGCTCAAGACCAACAAGTTTATTTTTTATTATCACGAATTGTTTTTTGCCTGCACCATGCACATCACCACAATGTCTCAATTTCTGAACCGCTTTAGACCATTATTACTAAATTGAGAATGATATTTTCCCGGCACAAAGAATAAATAAATAATTTATAAGATTTTTGTACACAACTATTCACCATTTGTTAGTAAGTAAATATACTAAACTAACTTACGATTTTAATATATGCGAGTCAGAGAGAACTTATTCTTGATTTCTCCACAATATTCTTGAGAAATATTACAAGCAGTCCTTGTATGCAGTGCAAATTTGTGATTTTTGATAGTACTATTATTCGACTTAATAGTTTCAATAGTCATATTTAGTATCAATTTTTCGCTTCCATAACATAATAAGAAAAATTATTAAACGACGAAAATAGCTGAATTTTTAAAATCACCTCAACTCTAAAAAAAGTTTGTGTAGAAGGATAAATAAATCACTGTAGTATTATTACATATAAAAAATACTACGGTGATTTTAGTATACTTGAATCCATGAAAGTTATAGAGTGAAACGTAACTGAATCACTATGTATAGAAAAGTGTAAATGAAACTAGTATGTCAATAAGTATAAGGAAATTGATACATTAATTTAAGTATAAGAAGTTAGCAAAGCCGCGAAAACTACGATTACACACAAGGAGTTGAAGTTGATTCCCAGGTGTTAAGTGACGCTAGGTAAGTAAACAATTACTAAATAATGCACTTTTCATCTGTTAATTTTCCTGAAAAGCTTCTATTAAAAAGAAATTATTACAGAGATAATAAGGATAGAATTAACAACATTCACTGATAAAAGGAAACGAGAAATGGGGGAAAAGGTTAAAAAAGAATGTGTAGAAAAAAAGGTCAAAAAGAATGAAAATGGTAGGCATAGAAATGCCAGGCAAACTTTAAAAAGAATGTCGGATTAGGTTTTTTTCACACATAGTTCCCCGCTATCATAAAGTTAAATAAGTCCCGCAGGAAGTCTTTCTGCATTTTGCTGTACGAGTATTAGTGAAGTAAGAGAAGGGGAGAGTAGTCAAGGATGACTGCTATCACAATATAGATCATTTACGGAACTCAGTTAGTACTGATCACGTTACCGATGAAGTCAACTTCCGTGTAACTTCAGTGAGCAAGCCATACATTATGTTTTCTGCAAGCCATGCAAATTAAAGCAAAATTGATTCGAACTTATACATATTGATGGAGGAGCAAAGAAAGAGTATATAGGTGTACATGGATGTAGAAATATACACAAATACGTATGCAGGAGAGTAATTTAAGTCAAATCTGCAAAATACACAAGCGAGTGCAGCGAGAGTCGTCAAGAGACTGCTTCCAAAGTTTTCTTGCTAAAGCTGACAATTACTTGCTCACTTTAGACTCGAGGTGTTTTGTTCAGTACGCTTCACATTTCTTTTCCACAATCCATTCTGCCCTCCCTCTCCTTGCAGCCAATCCACGAAACGACAACAGTGCACGAGAGCCAGACCTAAAGGCTTGTTTCCTTATTTAATATGCACGTGTAGCTCTTTTTCTGTGTGCCACATATTATATAAATGGATTTATTTACTTGCAAGGCTTTAAGCTGTTTTGAAAAATTAATATTACTGTTATTAAAGGTTTCTTTGTTGTCGTACTGTTAGACGAAATCAATCAGTTGCTCAGTTCATTTTTGAAGCAAACACAATTTTGTCTGAAAATAAGACTGTAAAAGGTGAAAAAATGAACTTGTCAACTCAGTTAAATTCTTTCTATGCTCCACTGATCGGCAGCAGTAATAATTTAAGAACTCTGCCAGTTCTGCTTATCTTAGCAGCCTCATCTACATCTGTTTAGTCTTATCACTCAGTTTCCTTAATTAAAGCTAAAATAAGCTGACGAGCAGTAATATCACATTTTCATATTCACATTTTCTTTGCTACAATGGGCTTTGATGCAACAAAGATTATAGGCTATGCATCTTTAATCCAGCCATTGAGAGACAACTAGAAAGCTTAATCTCCTCAAAATGCTGTATCTTTCGTAATCCCTAATAAGTGTTTTCATTAAAAAATGGATGCTTGAAGAGTTGCAAAGACGATGTAATTACGTAAATAATTCTTCGTATCATATTTGTTTAGCAAAAGTGATGAATTTAGAAATTTCTGTATCTTCGAGATGCAATTGAAAAGTTGATATTTTCACGAAAATGTACGGTTGCACTTTCGTGACGTTCGTTATTTCGATCATTTGTTTGATGAATTTGAAACATGAATTAATGCACTGTTCCTTTTACTCCATTCTACTGCATTTTCAACCGAGAAACCTAAGTGTTAATAAAGCGTGGCCAAATTCAAAGATGTCTTAATCCATTAAAGGAATCTAGAGGCGATCATTACAGTAAAAAAAGCATTCTTTTTCGAAGAAAAAAAAGGTCATCTGATCACGCTGATAAGAATGAGAGAATATTAAAGGTTTCTATCAGTTCTAAGACTGAAGTGCTTCAATAGAGATAAACGTTGCATCAACAATTATTTCCATTAATTAATTGTCTTAGACTATTCTTATCAAAGAAATCCAGTTAAAATGTAAGATGGTTTTCGGCAAGTATGTTTTTAGAGCAAAAGCTTTACGATATGAATAGCTCAACTGCTTGGTCATTCCCTCTCTGAGTACACCATTTTATACTTAATCACAGTCATATGAGAACAAATAAAAAATTTTCAAATCCATTTTAAATTAAATTTTTTTGTTTTCACTTTCTCCATAATCATTGTTTAGAGAGACAGAATCTAAAAATGGTGAATATGAAAAAATCTAATGACCATTTTTCCCATCTAAGGGAATCAGTGCTCAAAGTTACCTTTAAAATCTGGGAATCTTGAAACTTGGAGCTCATTTACAACTAGATATTAGAATAGTGAAAAACAGTTTTCTGAAACTCATCTCAACATCATGAAACCGATTTTTTGTTTTAACTCTACCCACTATATTCCGAATTCTTACTTTTGGTCAGATTATCAAGTAAAAACTTCATGATATATTAAACCACGAAATGCAAAACACTTCAAAGAATGCTTGTGTTTCGTCTTTAAAGTAAACATATCGTGAGATCACAATAATCGATCTGTTTCTAGATCGAAAGATCTTGCGAATTTTCTACAATCTATGATTTTGGATGATTTTGTTCATAATCCAAAATCAGTAGCTCAACTGCTTAGTCATTCCTTTTCTGAATCCACCATTTTATACTTAATCATAAACTTCCTCGTAACCAACATGTTGTTTTTCATAAACCAACAGGAAGGTACAACACAACTTTGTGCAATATTTTCAAAGTGCATATGATATTGCTCAACTGATTTCAAGATTAAATTTATAGGGTTGAAAATACTGTTATATATATTTCAATTTAGTATGATTTTGTTCTCATCAACCCAAAATGACTTGATTAGTGAAACTTTTTTTCATTTACTCAATTATTAAATGTAGTTTATTTCTATTAGATACGGTGCAGAAAAGTTTCTAATTTCACCTTTCAAGTTGAAAAAAATGAATTAGTTCAAATATTGTCAATAAGAAAACTAAGTGAAGTATCTATCTGTCACTGTATGCAATAATCATACTATTTAAAGTAAATTTACGATATGTGATAAGATATGGACAAGAAACTTAATGAAACACGAACCTTTTGTTGATGAACAATTCAAAATTAAGGGCGCTTTTTTCAAATGCAATCAGTCGATTTCGAGTTGACCGGTTGCGAAATCGAGACTGCGACTCAGCAAGCCATTTGCTGTGCTCACTACTACTTGAGGCTGTCTGCGATTTACTAACCAATTCATTGCCAAAAGAAATAGCCCGCGTTCGTTTCATATATGACGATTCTTCGTTCTTCCCACTTAGCATTGTATCTTTATTATTTGCATTGCTGACCACCTGCGTCTTCTACAGACATATTTCGCAATTCTTCTTCGACTCACCAATGCTTTACCTGTCAGAAACTCATTTATATTGTTAATTATTAGCTGTTACTTAAAACTGTACGTTTACTGATAAATGTTGAAACATCGATCGAACACTACTTATTTTCTACAAAATTACTGCCTACTAAAATTATAATGACGTAACAGAGTATAAACAATGACAGGCTGCTATTCCCTTCTACATAGTAATACTTCACTTTGTCTACAAAAAATTATAACTTAGCGTAGTCATTTTTATTTTCAACAGCCTTCATTCCCCAATCTGAAATGGAATATTGCAATATGTCAGAGGTTCTTAGCATTATTTCGATAATCAGAATAGAGGAAGTTAAAATAATTGGAGAGGAAGAAATTAAAGTAAATTACATAAATTTTGGTTGTTTTTTTTTTCAAAGCAATTTCAGCTACATCTCATTCACGCATAATTAGTTTCCGGTGTGTCTTATAAGTTTGCTATTGATTTTATATAATTATGCAAAATATGTCAAAATGCAGCAAGTTTCTTACAAAGTCGAAAGAACTTTATAATTTCAATGTAAATGGAACCAAATATGATAAATTATATGCAATCTGAATCAGTAAAGGCAAAAAATTATAATTATTTTGCGAAACTCAAGAAAGGTTACTATGTAATGAGAAAAATTCTTCAAGCTGTTGAAAAGTTATTTTGCTGGAAATATTTCGTAGCAAACCTCTATTCCATCAATGCTATAGTACTTGAAACTTGCAAGGGTATCAATCATGCAACGCAGTAAAGCATTGGAGAAACAAAACACTATCTGTAGATGCATTTCTCAAATTGGTCCACTGAGGCATTGGGAATGAAAGTTGAATAAAACTTGAAAGTTGAGACACGATCATAAAATATTTAAAAAACGTAACGTTGCTTGCCATGTGCAACAGATGAAATGTCGAAGTGTGATATTGAAACTAATTTTGCATAAAAGCAAAACGAATAAATAAGCTAGTTACACGCATGTATGTACATAAGGCTAGCGAATAAAATCAATAAAAGCTAATGCTAGGCGACAAAAGACGATCTTGAATGATTATAAACGATTGAAATGATAAACTAACAATAATGATAATGATTTTCATACCACTGCTACTTCCATTATTTAACAGTGCAGTACTGTATATGATGATAGTAACAATAACAATTAATAACAATAATAACAATGGCAATAATAATGATGATAATAATATTTAATAATAATAATAATAAACAATAAATAATAATATACAATAATAATATGGGCATTATTATTATAAATATAATTACTATAAATAAATTAGAAATATTTCTTGCATGTAGTTCAGTGCAAATTGAACTGCTTACTTCACTCAACAAGGGAATTAACATTTACCACACTAACATATTTTCACCTGTACATCGTCCATTTTCTCAGCCGCTTTATCCGTTTCAAATGAACTCAGAATTCTGTCTGACTTAATGAGTAGTTAGCTTGTCTTATCTTGGTATATTCTGACGGATAATTTTCTTCTTACTATTTGAATGAGAAAGGGGAAAAAAGGGCTCACTTTGTTAATAGAAATTGAATTTTATTAGCTAAATAATTGCGATGGTGACTTGTGAAGGCTATGAATGAAACAGACTTCTTTTCCTAAAATTTTTGATAGTAAAAAGAAGAAATACATATATCAGGGACAGAAGTAAAGATATTTGATCTGTCATAAAAAATTTTTCTATTTCAAAAGACAGAATCTGAAAGATTGGCTAATTGAATATTATAAAAACAATAACTACGGATTTTGTATGTAGTTATTTCGAAAACAGGGAGCTAAATGAATGTCATCACTTTTGTTTAACGTGACTCATTGAAACCACACACATGGTTACTTTATTGAAACTTATTAATCTGAATAAACACGTAAGCTATCTTCCCTGTGACCATTTGAAAAATATTTTTCGGTGAATGGTATGCATGTCATTGAATCGTATGGATATATATCTCAATTTTAAAATGACTTTGGCAACTTTAGATACAATATACTCAAGGTGTCTTGAGAAAGATATCAAGCAGAAAGTTTCTGAGAGCTTGATCAAGAAAGCAACACAATGAATTTAACAGAAAATTTGATAAGCATCAAATATACTTGCTATGCATCTAGTATCTCCATTGAGTTTCAACTGGTCACAATGGCTACCCTAATTTATTTGATAGACATGATAATCATGGCAATTGAATACGATAAACAATGCTCATTGTGATAAGCAATCATTTATTCAATTTAAAAAATCTTTCATGTTAATATAAGGGTCATTCAGATACAACTGAAGAAAGTAAGTTGCCGCAATACTTTTAAATAAATTATTTTGCAAAAAGAGCCCGTAATTAGTATAACATATTTGTTTTACTTTCACTGACTTACAGCAGATGAGTGCTAAAAAAGTTTGGCATTAATTACTGAAAAAAGGCGATGCTAGGTTGGGGGTGATGAGCAGTTGCAAAAAATGATATAAATAATTTACTGAGTACGTCATCATTAAAGAAGTAATTTTTGTGTTGTAAGTGAAAATATTAATGGCCAGAAATTAAAAAATGACAGATGGTCAGCATGTGAAGGCGTAATTAAAAGCTGTATGCGAGAGTCACTGAAATGGAATGATTTGAATGGGGGTGGTTTGGTCAAATTTAATTTAGAATGATATAATGTCACATTTAGCGAGATTTAATTTTGAATTGCCTAGTGATACGAAATAATGGGATAAAGCTACGAGATCGTGAAATCAGTATAATTCTCAATCTACGTGCAAATTTCACATGTTCCCTTATTATAATGGAGTACAATCATTACCATTAATCATTTAATATTTCGTGAATTTTATTAGACTTTTTTGCTATTCTTAATACTGGAAATTTTCAAAGCTGTAAACTGTGTAATTTTAAGCACAAGGAAATTTTGAAATGAACAGAAAAAGGTGTCTTTATACTTGCTTATTTTCAAGCACTTCTAGTTTTTACTCTCACTCAAGTCTCAAGGGGCTCAATTTCCATGACTTTACACTCTCACATCAGTCCATTCATCCTAATGTATTTGATTCTTTCTTTCCTTTCAAAAGTTGTATTAAAACTGAAGAATAATGCAGATACACGATAACACAATTAATATTGTCTTCAGTACCGTAATCCCTCAGCTTTCTGTCTTATAATTTGTAGCGTCAAATATAGGTAAACTAATATGAAGCAAGACACATAACAGTTTGGCTAAATTAATTGCCGTTAATGATAATAGGCAAAGAATAAAGTTACTGTAACAGTGAGTGATAGATTTTGTGGCGTCACCTTGATGAGGGGAAGAAAGGCAAACGCTTAAGTCAATTTCTGATTACTTAGTTGTACTTTTACTACCAACTTGAAACCACTGTTTATTTTGTTCGGCACTACCACACTAAAAGATGGGCTATTATATTTACTAACAAAGTAATTCTTGGCGATGAAACTCATAGTATAAGAATAGGATTGCAGGAACCATTGAGTTGATAAAGTTCCAAAATATCGTTATAGAACGGGAATGATTTCATATGGAATGATATTTTCTATTTCATATATGAAAAACCCATTTAGTGGGATCAGTGAGCATAAATTTGGAAATTTCTGTGTTCGGCAAATACGAGGTAAAGCAGAAATCATCAAAGGATCAAAATTGAAGGAAAATATTTCGTGCCTTAGAGGAATGAATAATCAGTGTGCATATGGATTTGTAAATTCTATTATGTGACAGCAGTTTTTTTTTTGCTCTCGACATAATAATAATAGCTGAAATCACCATATCTTCTACATTTCTTTGGAGAGTAGAAAATAAGAGGATAATGATAAAATTAATCCTGTGTGTTCAGAATCAATACTCTGGATATTTTTTTAGTCTCTATCACTGTTGTTTCTGCAATCATATTCATGGTAACTTATTAGGACGAAATTTTATGTAATGTTAATAACAATTATGAGTAAGAAAATATACTTACAATAAATACAGAGTGATGGCAATTAAAGCAATCAACTGAAAGATTTTGCTTCAGTAGTGACAGTAGGAAGATGAATTACCGACTAATTTGAGAGAAATTATTGAAGCGAAACAAAAAAATGAAAAAAAAATGGGCCCAATACTTTAAAGTAATGCTCTTTTCCGTCCAATTTCTGCATTCATGTAATCAAACTAAAGTTACTACCACTTTTTTTGAATGCAAGAAGTCGCCCTAATAGAACTTCATTCTGTTGAAAAAATAATTATTATTTCCCCATTTCATGGTCATAATATTGATTTTTTTTCATTCTCTACAGGTTTAAAGTTTGGGGGAAATAGTAATGAATCAGTATATGCCTACATAATATGATGACTACGAGACTCAGATGACATTACAAATATCCATCCAAAAATGTGACACAGAGACCTCTGCGGTAGAGGCTAACTTAAGCAGAAATTTTAATGTAGATCATTTTTTAACTATTTTTGTATCTCTGAAGTACACATGTCTTTCGGTTACTTGACAAGCTAGTTTTATTTTCCCACTATTGATAAAACCATGCAATGATCATGTGGAATAGTTTGAAAGTGATGATGAGTCATTAACTGCAGTAAGAAGCATTTTATTTTCTGTTGAAAACTATCACATGTTGTTCGAATTTGAAAGGATTATAAGTTGAGCACCGTTAATAGTAAAGTGAGGCTATAATTGGAATTGATTGAATTATTTCGTCAAAATAACAAAGATGGTCATTATGGAAATTACAAGAAGCGATAACAAAGAATCCATTAATTGAGGTCATAAATAATATTGAGAAGGACGCAAAACAAAGAAATTTTAATATGTGTGAGGGACAGCTGCATCATTACATGACAATAGTTTAATATAAACTGCATATAATTAGCATCCGACACCTGACATAAAATAATTGAGGGAAAGGAGTATATTATTTAGTCTTGTACCAACTGTCGACAAGTATTCCATCATTATCAAACCATGCAATATAACCACATGTTGCTTTACCTCTCAAACCAAAGAGAAAAAGTTGATCGCAATGATATCCTACTATATCAGTATCATTCTGAGCCTGCAGCGTTAACAATTCTATCATCAATCATATCTTACAGTGGTCTTTTACATTCATACTTCCAACAAATTACGCATTCTGCATTTGAGCAAAATTGCAGTTTACAAATGTACGATCGAGTTCTGTACAATTTAAAGAATCAAAAAAAAATCAAAAGTTTCACAAGAAGCAATCAAAAAACTGAGAAATGATATTAAAAATGTTTGAGAGGTGATTTATTAGAATAAAATAAGAAAAAATTGCCTGGTATGTAAAATGATTCACAGAACAATCCAGATGACCACAATGACCATGGTTATCATAGCGACAATAAATATTGTGTGCACTAAAGGCACCCATCCAACGACCGCTCCATGTACATTCTGATGGATCACTTCTAAAAAGAATGCATACCAAGAGTAATTCTGTTCTGTGATAAATGGCAGTTAACTCCGTGATTCCGGCATAAATTTAATGATGTGCTAATATTTAACTGCTTCACTCTTTCGATATCGAATTCTATCGGATTTAATTTCCGAAATTTTTACTTGCAACAAAATCGTTTTTTGAAAGTTCCACCAAAAAAAGTGCTGCATGGTTCGCCAAAACTTGGATCCGGTTTGCATACTCCAGAAAACCACCAATTACTACAACGTCCATTACTGTTTCTAATGTAATCATATTCTGCTTGGCAATGCCCATTACAAAATGGAGCCGTGCCGAACCATTTACAGCCGCCATCTGATGGATATGGACGATAAGCCGTCAAATCTGACACTGCTTTGGCTGTCATTCCTTGAATTAAATTTTGTTATCATAAAGAAAAATCAAAGCAATTAAACATCACTGGAAATTAAATAGGAATCTTTAGCCAACGTCCAGAAATGTGTAATGTGAGTCTTCTCATTCCAAAATTTAAAAAAAAAAAGGTTGAAAGATGTGAAAAACAATAATTCACCGCTTAATAGATACTTGAGATTAGTAGTTATTGAAAGTCTTCGCCGCTTTATGCAAAGCTAAAATATAGATGGGAACACATAGTATGAAGTATGCTTGTAATATTATAACTTACAAAACCAAACAATGGATAACACTGACGTAATTGGAGCATATGTTTTTTTTACAGTCTAATAATGCACTGATTTCTTACACATCAAATTTAGAGTACCTTTCATTCCGTAAGCATCTTACTTTGCAACTATTTTCATTTCCAGCAACCAACTACAAAAAATGATACATGTATACCAATGAGCGTACCAATGATGCCATGTACAACGGCCTCAATTACTGGCTCCGCGTTCTTCTTCACCCGTACGTGTCCTTCCTCACGTCCTAAGCTTACTTTTTAGATTTGCAATGTTAACCCCTTTCCAAATTAATACAAGAAATTATCGGCTTGACTATTATATTCTACATTTATATCTTAAAACTTGTTGCTTCTGAAAAATTATTATTTCTGTCAAATGTGAGAGGATTCACAATCAGAAGTTCAAATAACTCACCGATAATTCCGGTGACAACAGCGCTAACAAGGGCATCTCGTTGTATTCGCTTCACCACATCTAAATTTATGGTAGTAAAAGTTAGGAACAGCTTTCCAGATAATAACAGCCTACATTCATTTTCTCGATTCATCCAATACAAGGATAATCTGAATAATGAGATAAGTTTGTAACTACATTTTGATTATTTACATTTTCAAAGCATAAATGTAGCTGAAATAAAAACATATACCACCGTAGACTTGCGTAGAATTCGTTTTGTTTCTACTGCTCAATAATCTCTCATGAAGATTTGGATTGCCAGTGACCATAACGAATTCAATTGAAATGCAACCAAACACAAGGAAAAAAAATTGATTCAACGATGCAATCAATAGTGTAAGCATTGAGTACTATTTAACACCTAAAACTGCAAATAGAGCAAAAACATGTTGAAAAAGGAACATTCATCGCCCCTTCAACACTGTTCTTTTGCATCTCCTAGCTGTTCTGTGATGAACTAGTACCAGTTATCAACATCAGTTGATTCCCTCAAAAATGTTAGACTAGTTATTTAAATCAAACCATGATCAATTATCTCGTGAAAACGTTAGTGCTGCTTGCTATAAATTTAGCAAATTACAGAGATTAATAAATGAAACAGTAGTGATGTGATGTAATGTGAAAATGCATCCTCCTAGAAATTATAGAAAATTAATGATATCCAGCTAATTTCGTACCAATATCAAAAATGGTTGACAGTTGTAAAAAGCTGTTCTAAGGCTGAAACTCATTTTTTGAACAGAAAAGAAAAAACTGCATCCACAATCGACGGGCACAGATTTATGAAGAATTGCAGAAGAAACCAATTCAGTTTTTGATGCTAATAGTATTTGCACTGAAAAATAAAAAAACGTAGCCTCTGATAAGTCATTTTATATTTTAGCATAGTGGTTTTTGATCCAGTTTTGACGGTAATGATAAAAATTGATGACGAACCCAGAAAAAGAGTAAATGTCATGTCCAGAAAAAGTGTTGGCGATGCATGACACCTGCTGAAATATTAGCCATTATTTAAAAAATTTTGTAGTTGTCGTAAAATAATAGTTACGCATAAACTCATGAATGTGAGGGCTGTTAATTAATGAATTGCTTTTACAAACGTTAAAAACTTTTTAGTGGACCGAGACAGCACGATGGCTTGTAGAAAAGTTGAACTTCGCAAAAATTGCAGTTGTTCCAAAAAATATTTTAATTAATAGTTTATTATATTTGTTGTATACAAAATTTTCATTAAGGCCAAGCCCAGGTTTCAAAATGTTTGAAGTAATGATATCCCATTAGCGAAAATGCATTACTTATTTAATATTTTATTGAATTGCTTGCTTCTGACCCCTAAAGAACACAAGAATACATAAAACACATGCCCTAATTCTAATTTGGAAGACTTATCAGATGAAAAAACTAACGTTGCTACTTACTATTTAATACATTAATTTTATCTTCCAATTTCATTTTATTCTACAAAGATTTTGTAAGCTACATTAATTTGTCTTCAGTTTTAATTCAAGCATTACAGAGAGAAATGAGAATTACTCGGCAACTGAATCGTTTTTCGATCATCACTTGATGCTATGAACATCACTAGTAATGATATCTTAGAAAATTTTAGATTAATAGCAGTCATTAATCACTCTCATCGTATCGGCGATTTGTTAACTGATCTGGATCGCTTAAGGATTTTTTCCATGTCTCCATTCCAAGACAAACTCATGAAGACATTAAGCACGAAACCCACCAAAGAGAAAAAGAACATCTATTACTCTTATTTTTTACAACACGATTAACAAGAAAAAGTTTAAAAAATGGAGCACAAAGTCCAAAAAATTCTGATAACAGCAGTTTTTAAAAGTCAGTCGATAACATTTTAATACATTTTTGACTCAAACCAGTGTCATTATCTTAGGTAACCTGAGATGAAGTAGTTCTATATTATTGAACAATGAACCTAATAAGTTTGTTTCTTAAACAGCAAAAAAAAAACTGATATTACCTTGGCTAATATGAACCTGTTCAAGTGTGGAAAATGGGTAATTTCACGAAAATTACCCGTTTATATTTTGAGTAGACCAAAGATTATCATTAAAAATGGGAGTAAAGAATTAACCTATCACGATAGTAAGCTGATGTCCAATATCAAAAATTAAGGAGAAAAAGTGGTAATAACGAAAAAAGAAAAGGAGGAGTTACCAACAATTACTGTACTTAGTCAAGAAGATATACGTGGTACTGACGACAACTTTAAAAGCTTACCGAAGGAATAAAGGTATGAATGACAGAATTGACATCAATCACGCGAGAAAAGAGATCGATCAGATATGAAAAGCTTGCAAGCTGTCGTTATTATAAAATTATAATTCTTAATATTACGATGATTTGTTGATATTACTATAAATATATTAGATGCGCACTTAGTTCTGCTACGGTTTGAATAAAAAATATTAATATAAACTGGAAAGAATTCCATTTTTCAACTATGCTGAAAAAATTCTGTGCTGGAAATACGTCAGAATATTTACTACAAGCTAGGTTCTAAATTACGTTATTTGCGTACTCGCAACCGGTACAATTGGAACTGAATAATTATTTATAGTATTTTCGTACGAAATAGATGTCATTCAACAGAATGAGGTTGAAATATGATTAATCAGTTGTGAGAATTTCACGTGAAACAAGTTTCATCGACCTCTTTACTTGGATGATTCATCGTTCTCCTTAGTTTACTTACTCGAAGAAAGGTTACATCCAATTATTTCCACAAAACAAGCTCGCTCGCTATATATATCTATATCTGCCTGTCTACATCTATTGTCTATATCTATCTCTCTATATCTGCCTATATATATATTTTTCTGAGCAGCCATATTTTGATAAATATTGTGAATTGAACCACTATGCAGAAACTTGGCGTTTTTTAAGCCATAAGGACCATTTTGACAGAATCATTTATTTTACCGAACAGATGGTGCGGTCCTCATGTTGATAGCGAAGATTGATGATTCTCAAACAATGTTTTTTTGTCCTTTTTTAACAATTACACATAAAGCTGGAGTTTCAAACATTTGATTGTATTCATAGTATACAAAATGAAAGCCGCGAAAATATACAAAGTTTCAAAACAATTTTATAGCTTCTTTGAAAAACCAAGAGATCGAATGGTTCTGAATGAACAGGAAGAAATGAGAAAACAATCAGTCCAATGCACCCACCACGCAGGTAGCAATCTCTCATTCCTGGATAAAAATCCCAAACTTTTTCTTTCCTCAAGTGCTTTTGAAACCTTTTAAAGCATTTTTAGTGTATTTATTTGCATGCAGCTGCCGATATGTACTCAAGTGAATTTGGTAAGTTTCCCGTCTTTATGATGCAAGCAGAGAATTCATACGTGTCTGGTCGCATAATGAGAGGGTAAAGGTTGGAAATGACGAAAACAAATCAGAAACGTTTACGATGATGACTTGTCGATGGAAAGGGCGGTAGCAAAGCAAGTGGCATCTGTCATTGTTACTTTAGTAACTGTTCCTAAGGACTGATTATAGCTATGCTTACTGAAGTGTAAATTTAGACAAAGTCCAGAATGACCTTCTAGAATTCTTTGAATCCTCTGGGACTTATTGAAAAACACGAGTTTCATTTGATTGTAAATTGCCAGAAATCTCTGCTCCAATATTTTCATCAACAAATTTTATGAAGCGAAGCCAAAAATTCAAAAGACTCATATTCTCACTCTAACAAATAAATTTGCTGTTTGCGTAATAACATACCCAATTGATGATACTCAGGATAACATTCACTTTGAAGATAGTAAAGTTGGTTCGCTGAAAGTATTTACTATTCTAACAACTAATATCTCAACACTAAAACTAAAATCGTACGTTTAATTTAGGTTGGCAGCACAAACATCAATCAACACCACTGCCTTTTTATTGAGTATAAATGTTCAAAAATTTTATTTAGTGATTACTGTATTCCTTCATTATTGCCAGTCCTAGATATTAATGGTGCAAAAGCATATTTTAGTGGAATAATAAACACAGTAATGTCATCTGTGGATGCACAACCACCACTCGACATTTGCCATCGATATGTTTCTATCGGATTACCTCGTGCTGCCACAGCTACTTCCTGTGCAGCTATCGTATACCTGAATGAATCTTTCGGACTGGAAATTTAATTTACGGCTCTTTCAAAAAAAAAATATATTCATTTTAATGTGAAAATCATGAGTCAAATCTTATCAATAAATATTCGCTTTTTTGGTCGAGAGTAAGTATACTCTTTAAACGTAAGAACTTCATTCCTACCTAAAAAATGTACTTGTATTAATTTACAAAAGTCTTTTGAAAAATTCTGAAAGACCGAAAATTGTGAAAGATCGTTAAAAAGATTCAATTAGCTAAAGAGCTTATTTTTATCAATTTTTCAGATTAAAGTTTCATTTAAAACAACTACAGACTGTCACTTTGATATTTCCTTCAGTTTAATTTCTTTAAATTTAATTCTTCCAAACTAGTACTGAGACTGCCCAGAATGGAGATTACAGCTATCATCCAAATATTATAATTATTTAATTGATTATAATTAAACATTTGGAAATTTTCGATGATTTAAGAAGGGGACAATTTCTAAAAGGATGAACTTCAAATAATCCGTTGGATCGGAATTTTTCAAAGCAGTTTTTACAATTGCCGTTACATCGTTGTTACTTAAAACATCCCATAATCCATCTGATGCCAGTACAAGTACATCTTCATCAGAAAGCGGATCAATTTTTTTGAGATCAAAAATTTTAACCTACAAAGCATTCAGTAATATGTGAAAGCTATTTCCAAAGCAGCTGACAATGCCAGTTATGCTTATCAGTAATGGTGGTATAATTTTTGGAAAAAGACTAATGATAATAACAGATAATTTTGAAAAAAAAGTATTTTTGCCAGATTTAGTCTCTTCAACTTATTTTATTCTAATCAGATCAGAATTTTCGACTTTAATGATATAAGAGCACTTGTATATGGAAAGCAATCAAGCAGATTCAGTCCTCATAAATTATTTATTAATTATAGTCATGATTTCCTATCAGAAAAAAATCAAAATCTGACCTCTGGTACTGGGGACAAAAATGGCTTGATTGGAATTTTACCGTCAGCAGTGAACAAGCTGTGATCACCAAAACCACGACTCACACCAATGGTATTCAACAAACGTCGCTGAAAAAAGTTCGAACAAATTAGTCTTTGCATATTTTCAACAGTCTTTGCTAACTGCCTATACTATCTCATTATTTTCTTACGTTTCAGATCCCAAATAATACATATTTCTATCTCATTTTATGATTTGGCTGCACTAAAATTACGTAAATATAGGTAGATCAAATAAAATGTGATTTCTTGGGTTAACATAGTATTAGAATAGGCCAAGTAAACACTGATTTTAGATTTCCACTTATACGATCTAGCAGTCGTCGAATTCTAAATTGTAATTTCTCTGTATAGGACCACAGATTAAAGTATAAAGTCTAAATATTAAACGAGACTAACTTTTTTATCGTGAGCACTAATCATTGGCATTTTTAAATCTGACTCCCGAACAGTTTTTGTCGCCCTGAAACTAAAAATGGTCTCTACATGCTAGAAGTTAAAGAAAAGTGCACCAATTTTTTTGACAGATCTGTCGCAAATGATATATTCAAGTTCAGTGAAGTTCAAATTTTGAATAAGGTTTGAAGTGACAAACCATCCATCCATGAACCAATCACGATAAAAGACCTTTCTTCTTAAATCGTTTCTTGTGAGAAAACGACTATATTCATAACGCGAGAAATATTTCGATATCAAATCAGGATTTTTGTAAGCCTACGAACATTAATTTTATCGAAATATTACATTTTTGGTATCAAAAATTATATATCATTCAAAAACGACAGATGATCAGCATATAAGTTAGGTTCATCAATGGCTTATAAATTTTCCGGCTTTTAATTAAAAACTGCTAATTTCAAATTCAAAGTTCCCAAATATTAGTTATAAAAGATCTCGAATTGTATTTCATGGCACGAAGTAATTTCGTACATAATTATGATAAATAATGATCGACTCAAGATTTAAATGGCGCAAGAAAAATTTTTGGATTTTTTTCAAATAATCATATTTTCGCTTTGCCGTCATCAGTTGGAGTTTTTTCTTTTAGTTTTACTAAAGTCGTGTCCGCATTATAGTGGTGATTATATCTAAATTTCAAGCATCAAAAAAAGCTTTATGAAGTAAATTTGATTGGTCCAAATAAATGGATAGATAATAAAATATCGTTCGTCAGTCATAACAAGTAAAATTTCTGTTTTTGAATAAAGACCTACTATAAATTGTAATCGTTTCCGTTCAGTTGCTGGAGTGAAGTCTTGACTCAACTGTTGAATATTATCCGTGGTAATTAGCAACGCTCGGCAGTCCCCTGCATTTGCAATAAATAACTTACCAAGGAAAAATAAAGATGCGATAGCTGTGGAACCTCCGCATATCCTCCATAATTGTTTTTCTTCTGCTATTTGATCATCCTGATACGTAAGTATAGTTAAAGTAAAAAGTGGGAAAGGTGAATTTAAAAATTTGTGCATGCAAACATGCATGGCAAACGATTTACTCGAGTTTGTTGAATTGACAGTTTTTAAACAAAATTTCAAAGTTAAGTAAACTTGGGAGGTTGTAAGATTTTTTTTTGAAAATATTTTAAGCACTCAAGAATTCATCAACCATATCTTTAAATGCGGTTTCAATAGCCCCCACGACAAGGCTATCGCTGGTAATTGAATAATCGAAGCTGGATGAATTATATTCTTCCGTAATATCAGCAGATGACTGAGTGGAACATCCACAGAATGTATTAGAATTACTTAAAAAAGTGATTCTTTCGAGTACTTGGCACAGTCGATGCTGGAAAATGCAGATATAGTGTTCAAGCAAACTTTTTGCTAGTCACATATTTCAGCTACTTTGACATTATAAGATAAACTATTTAGATGAATAATAATAACAGATAAATTGTAAAAGCTTTTCAAAATTATTCTTTACTCGTATATGCTTATGAAGGCAATTTGCAGCCATGATAGCAGCACCACTTCCAGCATGCCCATCAAAAATGGCAAAAAAAGCAGCTTCCATTGGTTTTTTTATTGAACTGTTTGAATTCTGAATGAAAATTTTTTGTTCATTCAATAAAAAAATTATGTAAAAAATTAAAATATCGTAAAAAAAATTAAAATACCAATCAGATTATTAGCAGCTCTTGTTGATACCTTAGATATCATATAAACTTGAAAACAATACAGTCATTATTTAGTTTCAAAAATATATGTTTAAAAATATATTTATCATTCAAAATTACAAAAGCAAACTAAAGCTGATTTCAAAACTTTGGTTAGAACATCGTTAATTCTAAAAGTAAAATTAATTATTAATTTTAGTTTTCCAAACAAAGTTTGGAAAATTATGCACAGCAGATAAAATGATATTGAAAAGTAATAAAAAATAGCTGGCAAACATAAAGATAAACAACCATTATAAAATAAAAGTGACCAGGACATTAAAGATAGCAAACCTACATACGGGAGGTACTATCATATCTGCATTAGAATATCTCCTCGCTGCACGAACATTTTCTGTCAGATGTTCACAAACTTTGCTAGAAGATCTCGAGACACTGTCACTATCTGAGCGATGCTAAAGAAGTTTACTTAACAATAAATACTATTATAAACGAAATTAAATATTATTTTTTCCAACGACAATTTGATAAAAATCATTTAATATCAATTGCTTTAAATATTCTGTCATTATAGATATGCCAGTGAAAAATGATTTTTAATAAATTTTTGCACATGATTTCTCCATTACCAAAATTTTTATTGATAGAATTTTTACCAAAATTTTTGTGGATATTTTTCAGTCCTTCTCGGACTCTTGTTAAACATTTCATACGTAAAACTCATTTTTAAATTGCATAACAATGAGCTATTTATATTCTCATATTTAATTTATGCTTCATTCCTAATATCGCTTCTCAAAATGATTTATGAACAGGTCATTCCTACGAGAAGTATGGAAATCCAGTATGAATAAAGCTAACATATTTTTGTTTCTGAGCTTTTTAAGCTAACTAAAAAAGTCAAGTTTTATATTTGCTTGAGAAAATAACTATTTTCATTAAAAAGTCGAGATCTTCTTTTGTTAATGTTTGCTGCAATATAAATAAGAAATAAAAGCCATTGCGAATTAAGAACCAGAACATCAGTACTGATCAAAATTCGATGTAAAAATAAGTTATAAAGTTGTCTTACATCATAAATTGTTAAATCTCGAGCTTCCTCAGCATTACATCCTTGCTGAACCAGAGTTAGAATCCTTGCAGATGCTTGATCTTCATTTTGAACAGTTTTTCCTATTCAATACTTATTAGTCCACCAATTAAACAATATGTTTTAAGCGCTTTTGATCTAACTTATAAATTTTGGCTAAATTAAAGGTGATTGAATAGATATAAGTACAAAACTTACCTGCATTTATCACTTCTGCATAGCCAGTATATGCTGGCATTTTAAGTGGATCTTTTGGACAAAGAACTGGACGAGCCGATTGGTCTGCTGATAAAGTAACCTCTTCATCCGAAAAGTATAGGAATTCTGGTCGAGTATATGGGTAAAGCAACTTTTGTGACGAATCAACCACACCTAATGATGAATTATCCGTATGTAATGGACTTGTAATTGTCAGATTTAAATATTATTTTTCAGCTTCTAATCACTGTCTAGTTTTAAATGTTTGTTCTTGGCACAGTTATAGCATTTGAAATGAAAACAAGACTGCTTACTTGGTAGCAGTTCACCAATAAAATCATTTTCTATGACATCAATTACCAGTCCGGTATTTCTCGAACAAATGTTTTGAATCGCCATATTATGACTTGCAGTCAATGAACGCACTTTTGCTAACATTTGCTCAGAATTACAAGCATTAACGAACTTCCTAATTTAATTTTAATACCTAAAACTCTTCGGAATAGAAATATTTTAATTTTGTTTAAAGTGGGAAAAAATTAACCAAGGAAATTATAAGACACTTATGCGAGTGATGGATCAGCAAAAGATTACTTTATTTTAAGACCGAAATCAAAATTTTATATAAGCATTTTACATAACATTAAAGAACTACAAAAATGGATATGGTGTAGACATAATGCTCATCTTTTTGTCCTCAATACATGACTATGAATTATATGTTGTAGTTACAACCAAACTTGGTAGTAATTTAATCGTGAAAGTGGGAGGAAATGAAAAATAAATTGGTTGCAGACAAGAATATGAAAAAATACCAATAAAAGTAATTACTTATCTTGTTCATCAGAGAAAAAAAGGGGTAATCAATACATGAATTAAGTAAAATTTCAAATACTGAAAATACATTGAAAATATTTTAAACAAATTAAAAGATTAATAACGACGTATGATGGTTAGCTTGTTGTAAATAATAATGCGTATATGAAAGAAAGGAAAGCTCGATTCTTTAATTCATTTCCAAGACGTAAAAATAAAAGAATTGTGATGGTAATAAATGGGCAACGAAAAATAAGCAGCTAAAGTTAGTATTTTCGAGAATGATGAGCAAAGTAGAGCAGAGCAGTAAAGCTATGGCTGGCCTTCATAGGCATGTGAGCTAAGCAGCGTTTGAATCAATAGGTGCCTTGGAAAAAAAAAATCATTATGAACGGAAGTTTGTAATTACTTTCAGTCCAAAGTAAAGCAAATATTTTCTCTTCCAAATAAAAATTTTTGTTCATTGAAGGAAAATAGAATGCTACGAAAGACTTATCCCTTACTTTGGGCACTTAAATCCATACAAATTTTGTAAGGCTTCTATTACAGTTCAGTAAATTATAAAATAATCTAAAATATAATTTGATCATCACTGTTACAAAAACTTTTACACCTAAAAATTGATAATACATCTTTGCTTTGGATAATCGATCAAGGCATAAGAATGAATTTCACATCTTTGCTAGATCACTAATTTTTTCCCACTTATCTGATATTTTTAGCCAACCACACCATCAGGTTTTATTGAAGAATTCAAAGGTTTCTTCTAGCACTTTAAAGTATTATATATTTGGAGATAACAAAACAAACAAAGCGATGCTCTATTACTGTGTTATTTGCTTTCCCTTATGGTAAATTTTTCTTACATTTTCAACTCTAACCTAGACGAATTTTGGCATGAATAGAGATTAGTTCAACAGTCAGTGCAACGCAACAAGTACTCTGAGGAAGACTACAGCAAATTTCACGTCCTTAATGAGAACACTTTTTATTTCGCTCTTGCACACAGAAACGTCCAATTCATCATGTCATATTTTCTTCCCTATCTGCTGCACTATATAGATGAAGACATATGGTAACTCAAAAGTTTTCATCAATACTACTAATAACTTTAACACTTTCAACAAAAAGGTTATCTGACATTTTGGCAGTATTGAATCAGTCATTCCACTTTATTCGTCTTAAAATTTGCATGTAATATTTTTATAAAATTGATGCAAGCAGTTGTAATGTTATGCGCTGAAATCTCTTTGCTGAATTCATTTTCATCTGATTTTCATCAAATTGTTTCTAAAATTACACAGTATTTCCCAAAAAAATGCTTTACTATACACTTTTGATGTTTCTTTTAATATCTTTATTATCCTTCAAATTCCTCTATATTAAAAAGTATTACTTTTGATGAAGGAAAAAAAAGAAACACTCTTATAGTTTGCAGTCTTGAATCAAACAATTGAAGTCTTATTTAAGGTCTTTCAGTAGTGCTTGTTTTGAAAAATAACTTAATTACTTTAAATGATATTAACTGATCATTGAGGATCTATAGAGCAGTTGTATGAAACTCACTGTTCCCTCTCTTAAGATTTTTATGCTCATTTTTATTATATGTTTTGCTATTATGAAAAAGTACTTCCTTTTTTATTGATGTAAGCAAAAAGTTATTTTGCATCGGTAATGGCTTACGTGCCGTCGTTTCATTATCTTTATAATTTCATCTTTCTGTTTAATTTAATTTTGCTGCTTACAGTATTAATGGACTTTTACATTAGCTATATTACTAAGCAGACTTTTATTAATTAAGCTTTGTTTCATAAGAATCGTACAAAAAGTTGAAAAGTATTGCTGAGAAACGTTTTTTTTCAACAAGTTTTATGGGATATTAAATGAAGAAATTTAATTTAAAAAAAAACATCTTGTTATATATGAAACATAAAGTAGTGGTGATGTTTGAAGTAGTTCACAATTTTTTACAAAGCAGGCGACAAACTTATTAGGAAATTACAAACACTGCAGTAATATGATCTTACATGATTGACCCTTATGGCTCTGCCCAAAATATGATACTTCATCTCGAAGTGGTACAAATATTTATCATAAATTTTTGTTTAATAAGTCTCAACTTACATCGTATTATAATGTATCATCACTTGTTGCAATATTTGAAATTCATTGTCCTTCAGTAGTTGACAGAAATAAAATTTAAAATTAAACTTCAATAAAGAGTAGAAAGTAATTGATAAGTCGGTAATGATTTTTGTGGCAAAATTTTATCATCGACATGTACCCCAGTATTTCTCATTTCAAATTTTCATCACATAAAAGACTATAATAATTTAAAATATGAATTTTTCTGTGTTTGAAATCTACCCAATAACTATTCTATTCTTTATCATTTGGTGTATCATTTCTTTCAGCATGCGCTTTTCTGTGTCTCAATATAGCATTTAGTTCCATTCGAGATGGCGTTTGATACTGCAATAGTTTATAATCAATAACTGCTCATGATTTTTATGAATCATAATAGTTGGTAAAAAATTTTTTAGATAAGAAACACAATATATACAGAAACATTTCTTATACTCATTACTATAGAAATAACGTTCTTATATTGCTTTTTATGCTTAATAAAATTTCTGTCCTTCTTAAAACTTCAAATTTTCACATGGAAGATTGAAAGAGAAACAAGAAAGATTTTAACTTCTTGTACTACAAAACTACTCAAAAGTAGCGTTATCAAAATAATTAAGTGAAGTTTTGCAATGACATTCATTAAAAAATGAAGTAATAAAAGTCGAATTCATTAACATAGAAATTCAGTTACTAACATTACTTTGAGTTTATTTTTCAGCAGCAAAATTTGGCTGTATAATCGGCTACCTTCTTCTGTTCCACATGCTTGAATTAGTTTCGGGCGACTTAAAGAAAATAAATAAATACCATTAAGATCTTCAAGCAATTCTTGTACTCTGAAATACCATCATAAATTGAAAGACCCTTGTTTGCCTTCCTCGATAATATTTTTGAACATTTTAAAAGATTAATTTATTGGTTCATTAGTTTTTAAAACAATGGTCATTATATTATCATTATATTACTACTATGATACTAATTTTTTGAAATATTTTATTTAGTACCTAACACTAAATCCTTTTGCAGTTAACCACTCTTGCACTTCTTGTGGTGAAGATTTTTGATTGAGATTAATTTGTTCCTCTTTTACTACAGGATGTTTAAAATTTGCTAAAATTTTACTCGCTGATTTTGCTGAACCGATCGTGTCACGGATCTCTTCCATATGTTCTTTAGTAGCTATAAAAGATTTTTAACTTACCAATTAGATCAAAACTACGCAAAACAGAGACTTGTATCATAATAATGACAATCAAATATCGCCACTGCAAGCTATCTTTCGAATTATTCCTTTATTAGCAAAAATTTAACATAAAATTAGTTTGTATTACGAAAAGTATAGTGCTATAATGGTCTTTTAATTCATTATTAAATTACAACATCAAAGTTTTGCTAATAAAAGGCTTCAGGTATCACTTATTTTGTTTTTCATAAGATTGAGTTTTGATAGCAAAATCAAAACTGTAACATTTTTCAAATACTTTTGGTATAATTTACTCATCGACATCATGATAACATGATCTCCTTTCAGCTTTTTAAGTCCTTGGTGTAATAAAAGAACTACGAAGTATTGGGAGAAAAGAAACAGAATATAATCTCTGAAGTAATAATTAACAGTTAAAAGGAATTACGTAACTCTGAGCAGGAAACAAAAAGTTTGCCTCACCTTGCAACAGATCTTGGAACTAAAAATAACACAGTCCACATGATCAGTTTCCAGTAAATGATCATACAAAGCAGTTAAGCAAATGGCAAGTCAGTCAACTAATTAATTGGTATAATTAAGCATAAATTGAAGTATAGCAAAAATTTTTAGATTATTCATCATTTGGGGTTAATGAAAGCGATAAAAGATGGAGAATCAACTTACGCATTATCATTCCTATATTCTGATGTAGAGCAATTATTTTCTGCAGTTCTTTCTCTTTATTGCTCGCTTCCTTGTTCGCACCTTTACTTACTTCCTCAAGTTGCGATCGTTCTTTTCGACCTTGTGTTGAGCGCAATTTCACACTATTTAATTCTTCTACCATTGTAAGTTCTTTTGCTGCACCTTTTTGTTCTATTTTTCTTGGTTGCGGTTGTGGTGGTGATAAGGGTAATTCTTTATTTCCAACCTGTTCAACTGTTGTTGTATAAAATTGTTGTGATGCTTCCATTTTATCTGATTGCTGTAATCTTGATGCATTTCCTTTTGTTTGATTTAATTTTTGTTCTGGAAAGTTGCTTCTATTTTCAAATACAGTATCATATCAAATATGTAATGCACATGTTTATAGTTGATTACTTCATACAATATAGTCTTGGTTAATGTAATTCAAAACGATATATGATCTTGCTTTTTTTATCATTTTTATATTTACAAATTTTACTTGCGCAGTCAATAAATTCAAAATGAGGAAAATCCAAAAAATTTTAACAACAAAATCAAAAACTGACTTTGAAAAAGTGAATAATTAAACCTTTCCTTGTTAATTTGATTGAAAAGGGATAAGTTGAATTTAGACTGATGGGAAGTTTGATTTTTTCCCAAGTATTTGTTACGGTAGTTAACAAAGTGATGTTTTAATTCATTTAGATAAGTTATTGAAAAAGATTAAGACATCAGAATGCTTTTCAGAGTGAATAATGAAAAAAGCTACTGCAGTTTTCGTCAAGTGCAGTTAATTAAGAAGATGCTCATACAGTATATTGTAATAAGTTCAGAAGTAAAGTCTTGAAAAGGCTGTTATATATAAATATATATCTTTTAATTACTCTCGGGATACTGTACACTAAATACATATCACAATGTAATTTCCTTTTTTTATTTAGTATAGCTTCCTCATTTATTTCATTACAATCGAATAATTTTCAAACCTCAATGAAGTTTGTAAATATTATAAAAGTTCCTACTTCATGTTAGCATTTTCATGTAATATGTTGAAGCATTGCATCGCATATATATTATAATATTATATGCAAAGAACTGCTTGTCTCTACTTGAGAGCTGATATTTAAAAACAATTGTAAAGGGAAAAAACAAATATATGTTAACAGTTATTTTTGTTGGTTTTAAAGTACAACAAAATAGGCAGATTTAAGCCAACTGACTAGATCATATTACCTGATATTCTTTTGTGGAAAATATGAACGACTGAACAATTTATTCGAAAGTTATAGTTTGGAATAACGAAAACCAGAAATGATTTTCCAAACGAGATATTAGATGAAAATAAAAATAAAATTCAATAGCTTGATATGCCAGAATAAGTGAAATATTAAAACACTGTGATTTTATCAACGTGAGATTTCTAAATATTCGAAGAACAAAATATGCTGTTTGAAGGTTCCCAATCTTTGATATGAGCAACAAAAAAATCTTGACTTATAGATCTAATACAGTGTTGTAATCATTCAAACAGTAACATTTTGGTCTACAATTTATGCAAAAATTTGATACAATATTCTTTGTAATATTCATTCTTAGGCAGAATAATTAACTATACAACACAAACGTTGAGCAAAGACAATTCGCCACAGCAATTATTACCCCCTTTTTTTTCAATTTTATGCGACATTTTAAATTGAAGTACACTTTAATGTGTAAGGCAAGTTCACCATGATCATTACAATAAAACGAAATTAATGGAGAAACTTTTTCATCATTAACATTTTTAATTTATTAGGATAGTAAGCAAAAAAAATTTGCGAGGCTCACATTAGATTTCGGTAGATGGATAAATACCAGAGGAAATAAAACTGTGTGTCTAGAGTCAAATTTTCGTGATATAAAAATAAAGTCAAGTGAAGCAATAAGTTCGAAATTGAAAGTAACAATCAAAATTAATGAGATTTGAAAAAAGAAATAATCTTTTTAAGGAAACCTCAACTTTTAATCAGTAAATATTCAAGTTTCGTTATAACCTGATAAGTTTTGTTTTCAGTTATTAAATACAAATTTAACTGATGGTGGCTCATTTCTACTTGACAATAAGCAAGTCGAACAATCTAATATAATAACAAAATAGAAACAAAACTGATTATTGATATAGCAAGCACTGACTTGTTGAAGTCAGTATATGCTCGTATATAGTAAGACGAGTAGAAAAGAAAGCAATTTTATATTTTCACTAAGTTGTTTAAAATTTGCCATAAATAGAAAATTAAAAAATGCTGAAAATGGTGCTAACAATCAGGTGTGAAGTTTACAACGTGCTGCTTACAGTTCCATACTATAATATAAGTGACAATAATTGAGAAGAAACAAAATAAGCAGTTAATTTTAATTTCAATTTATTATCAAAAACTTCTCAATTTAAGAAACTGACATTATCATTCTTATAAATAAAGTGTTTGCTTTTTGTAAAATTTAATTTGAAATATTGAAAATCAGTAGCAAACAAAAATTCTCAGTGACAATTTTTAAAAACAGTTAATTTAATTGCTTTGTGTTTGCATTGACATTTAAAAGAAACAAATTCTAAATAGTGCTATATTTCTGACACATTAAATGGAAACAGATGCATATGAACATTTACAAAGATATCATATACATATTAAAGTGAGGTGTTGACTTTAGAAACTATGTACATTTTCAGCACATAGTAATTTAAATCATTTCAGATCTCAATAAAAATACATCTTTTTTACTACTGTTTCGTGCAAATTCTTTAGTTCTTCACAGCAGAAAATTTAATTTCTGAAGTGTTGTGCCGAATATCTGCTTACATCAGTGCAGATACAATTTACACCATCTAATGAGAAGATACATATATGCAAGTGGAATAAATTTGATGCATTTTAAAGGATGAATGAACAAACAATTTTAGAAGCAAGCTTCACTCGTCTTTAACTGAATAAATCACCTACGATGCTATTTCCTTATAGTATTGAACTAATTATATACAATAAGTGATCGAACTGAACAATCCTTATAAATTACTTCTCTTTTTCTATACCTGATTTTCACTATTCATTTTTTCTGTTCACTTTTTCAATATATGGATAATGATTTTACACATGCCAGGAAAAATCACAAGTCATAAATCATTAATGAAAAAATCCCATTCAAATACATAATTATCTAAATATAGCAAATAATCAATGTCCAAATTTTGAACAATATATTTATCAAGTGAAATGAGTACCTCACAATGATCGCCTTTCAACTTAGACAGAAAATATAATTAAAAAGATTTTATGGTAAAACTAGAGCAATCATGTATGATTAATATTTGAAAAAGTTTTAAACTAATAAAACTGAAAAAGTATGAGTGATAACTGCATCCGTTAAAAATTTAAGCAGTTAATCAGTGACAATGTGAGCATGCAATTACAAAAACAACCAATGTAAATCATTGAGAAGTAAAACAGTATTATAATTTTTCATCCACTAATTAAATTAGTTTTCATATACAATCTAAACTTTCTCACATGCAAAAAATAGAATTGCTTGAACAAAATATCAGATTATTAAAAGCATTGCGTGAAAACAGTGACTGTAATACTTAACTAATTATTACCATAATGTTAGAGTCTTTGGAGATTGTTTAATTAGCAATTAATAGACTGATTGTGTTTGTGAGCATGTGATGTACTAGCATGTGATGACAATGCTAGTGTCGTAGTTAGCATTAAAGAAAAAGAAAAAATGCTTGACAAATAATATGAGCATATTAGTTTGCGATGCAATGCAATTTTGATTATCACAGATTAAGAAGTATTATGATTTTTTTAAAGATATGAAAGGTAGGAAAAGAATGCAATGAATGCGTCCTAAAATGCAGATTCATTGCAGTTTCAAATTTATTGCATTAAAATAACTCCTTCCTAATTTTATCTTCTAAGTCTCATAATTAAAAAATGTATAGTTGTTTTGCAAGAATTAAAAGTGTTAAGTAATAATGAAAAAACTTCGCCAACTAACCGTCTTTTTACGTATTTCAACGTACTTCACTTGTCATGCAAGCATGCAAATCTTAGTGAACACATAGGCAAGCGAACGCTATCTATCAAAATTTCCTGTCTCTATGAAATTCCGTTCAAAAGTGATCAGAAAATGAAACGCAATTCATAGTTTTAAAGTCTTATGCAGGAAGCTAAAATAATGCTTCTAGAAATAAATCAGTTTTGCAAAAACGTAGAAAGCAAAATTTGCGCAAGATCTTAGTCAAAGAAGCGTTATAATTTATTCTTTATTTTTAAGAAAAAAGGCTTAAAAAGTAAAATTATTAATTTTAAGACATCTGTTTCACCAAAGTTTTGTTAGAAACGTGATTATTGTCAAATCATATAGTACTAATTATTTGAAAAGAAAATAAAAAATAAACAAATGAAAAGAAATGAAATTACTGGCATTATAAAATGAAAATCGGCAATTGAAGTGCATTTGATTTTAACTAAAAGATACTTCTTTAGTTAATTTTTACAACTCTTTAATTTCATTTGAAGGTATCGAAACATTTTGAAACTTTGTTGAAAGTCGATATTTGATAAAATAAAAATTAAGGTAATTAAGTGACTAAAAAACACTAAAAATATCTAAATTCTCCTCGCTTGCCTTGGCGTTGTTTGATATATTCCGGGGTATCGTCACTCATCATACCCGGTCGAGGACTTAAGGAAGAAGGTACTCCACGATGTGATAATACATTGCCCTGTGATTAAATTCATTTTTGCTATTTATGGGCAAAAAGTTTAAAAATTTTTATCTAATTTTCAAATTTTGCAAAAACATAATTTCAAAAGTTTCAAAAAATACTCTAATTTATCTCAATTAATTGCTGATGGAGCTAATCAGATATTTTATACTTAAAATAATACTCACTACGTGAAGAGTTGGGTCCTGAGATGGTAATGATTGAGGTGAACCACGATCAGCACTAACGACTGACAATATAGTGTGTGGTACGTAACCAATTCGATGATGAACATTCCGACATTCCCACCAATTTTTATTATCATTTAAAACCTGAATAGATCAGCTCTATTATAATATTTCAACTGTTTAATTTTTAAAATTAAATATTTGAAAATATTGACAGTGCTTACTTCGAGGAATTCCCCCTGACTAACAGTTAATTCTTTTGGATTTTGTGCCACTCGATTATGAGTAACCTGAACAAGTTTAGCACGTCGAGCAAAAATATCATCTAAAAATGCTCGCTGTCTTGGACTTTGATCTTGTTGTACAAGTAAAGATGACGAAGTTAATCGCTGATGTTCACCATCATTATACTGAGAATGATAAATGGGACGTCGAGAAACAACAGGTGATGGCTGCCGTGATGCTCTATAATTTCGTCGCAATATTCAATTAATTGTAAAGTTTAAATATTTGCTAACAATGACTGAAAAAAAAAGATTGTAATTTTTTTCACGCAAATATAGATATGATAAGCAATTTAAAATAGCGAAAAAAATCTTTACTCATTCTGTCTTGTAGTATAACTGCTACCCACTGATCGTTGTTCGGCTTCTTGTGCAATCATTTCTTTTTCAGCAGCCAAACGTTGCTTTTCTTGTCTATAAACTTTAATGAGAATCAAACTTGCAAAATTGAATAAATCATTTCAAAAATTATTATTTACAAACAGTTGTAGAATTAATAGCCTAATCAGTATAATAAGCTGTTCGATCATAAAAACCTGCCTGTGCTTTATTTTCATGGAATCATTTATAAAATGATATATCATTATCATCTTTTTTTTTACAAAGAATTTAATTTTATCTAACTAGCAAAAAGTAATAAAATTTTTTCATATTATAATTAGAAAAATCAGGTCAAAGTGTTTCAAAACTATATTTTATTCGTCATTCATCTTTTAAGTCATTTTTTTCCACAAAATAATTGAAATAAAACATACAAAATTCTGCGCTCATCTTCAATTAGCCGTCGTTCACGCTCGGCAATTTTTTCCCTTTCAAAATCTAGACGTTCTTTTTGAAGTGTCATTTGACTAAGATCCATATTAAGCTAAAGGCACGAAAATATAACGAACTCACCAACTAAAATAAGTAAGAAATGTTATGTCTATTCTAATTTTGACTAAAAGTGAAATAAATAATCAGCTTAGAATTTGATATTTATTTTTAACACAACCTTGATTTTATAAAATTTCTTTATTTCACTACATACCAATAATAACTGTTGAACTTTTGATAAAAGTGACATTCAGTAGATAGATAATTATTATTACGCAAGTTTGGACTCAAAAATATTAAACTGTAAATAATGACTATTATGAATCAAAATAAATTGTAACGATGCTGTTGTACATTGTCAACAGAGTGATCTCTGGCAGGTGGTCGGTGTGCATAAGAATTTTGGGTGGGTGGTGGTGGTGCACTAACCCCCCGATGAATTGGTTGTGGTACTGGCTGATATCGAGCAGGACTTTGTGGGCTAACTCCATTATTGTCCGGAAAACCATAAGGTGCAAAACCATCTAGGAATACAGGTCTGTATGGCTTGGGTAATGGTCCAATCCAATCTTCTCTAAAATTGACTTTCATGTCCTAACTTCAAAATAGTTCAATTTATTTATCATTTTTTGCCATATTCACGTAATTTTTAATGTTGGGCACAAATTAATGACAGGCTACTAAACTGGCATTAATCTCAATTTATAAATAATAAATAATGAAAATATTTCCAACTTCTGTCGCAGTAAAAACTAACGGTGCTATTCTCCATGCTTCCCCCAACGCCATCCATACATCAGATTCTCTGCTGGTTAAACAATTTTGCAATAATTCTCGAGTTTCTCGAGAAAGTAATGGAGATACAACCTTAAAACGCTGCTAGTAACTCTGAATACTTGGGTATTCTAGGCTAGATTTTTCATTTACTTTATACTTAAGGATTAAAAAAAACCTAATCTTAAACGCAACTTCTGCTGTCTGCTATGGATTACAAGTTTTGAAAAAGAAAAGAAATAATCTCAGAATTTATTTCACTGAATAAGAAATGCTTATGAGAAACAGCAAATCGCATGGAATCAAACCGTACCTGAGGAGCAATATTTCGTCCTAAGCCCCAGCGACACGCATCAAGAATAATTGTGAGTGGAGTGAACAAAAAATGCAGTAATTCTGGTGCATTGGGCTCATGAATGTGATTTTTAAGTTTAGACTAAAAACAAATAGTAGATAAGAAAAGGTAAAAAATCCTTAAGGATAATTAAAATGAAATTCAAGCCTAACAAAATCAATTCAAAATTTAAACTTTGTTCTCAGATTACTTAACGCACAATTTCATTTCATTAAATTAATATTTAACAGATCTTAATCATTCAATTATATCTGAAGCTCGAAAAATGAAAATTCAAAGAAAAAATCTGAAAATGTTTGGATATAAAGTTCATAACAAAATGATTAATTACTAACCAATAAATTGAATGATAGCTTGAATTTTTGTAAAATATCAACAAATTCAAATTGCGCAGGAAGTTGTGCACGCATTTGTAAGATACCACTTTGTGGATCAACAGGTGTACGTGAATTCTGTTTCCGATGAATACGTTGTCGGTACGCTTGAGCTTCCAGTTCGCGTTGAGCAATCGCAGCTGATTGTATACGGGCAACAAATCGTTCGATATCATCAAAACATCGATTCAAAGTATTCTAAAACCAAAACTTAGGGAATATTGCAAATGTTATGAAAAATTTACAGAGGTAATTTTGTAAATTTTTCATATTTTGTGTTAAAATTGTTTTTGACAAGAAAAATAAGACAAATGTTAAAATTATGCAGAAAAAAGTAATTTCCTTATATTTCGATCAATTATTGCATGAATACACAATATAATTAAAATTCAGCTTTCATAAAATGTGATAAAATTTTGTTAAAACCAGAATAATGATCCTTGATCAAATCTACCACTGAACTTGACTGTAACTGATAGGACCAAATAATAGGAGCCATCTTTAAACAAAATTATTTTTTAATGTTACGCTTCAAATTTTACTGTTTCAAACTTTTCCTTACCACATCCCTTTCAAATGATTCACTACTATCAGAACTGGCTGAAGTATCGTCACGGTAACCCCGAGGAGGCGGCCCTGAGAACGAATTCAATATTAGAATACATAAATCTTTTTTGAACTTCATGCAAATAATTTTATCTCCAGAATCACAACTTTCCATCTCTATATTCATCAAACTCTTATGATTATACTTTTTCCAGCTAATTCTTCTGGCAACTCATTGATTATTAAAAGAAAACTGTGTTAAATTAAGTAAATATAAAATGATACCCATCATGTACGGTGTTTGATAACCTATCATAAAACCTGTGTCACGACGACCTGTTCGTACTTTTTTATAATGTCCTGACAAAAATGCTTTTATGTCGTCTGCAACATCGTTCGCCGAAACACGATTGCACTGTAAAATATGTATATTCAATTTAGTTCACATAAAAAATTTTTTTTTTCACAATGAGTTTCCATACTTGAAAAACTTAGCTATGCATATTTGCCATTCATTCAACTGCTTGAAAAAACAACAAAATGACTTAAGAATATGTTAATTTTTAGAATTCACTGTAAGGAACTTGAAAAATATGCATTTCTGTTAGAAAATGAAAAATTGAACGAACTTGAAAAATATGCATTTCTGTTGGATTCAAACTTCTACCACGTTTTTTATCTTCTTTTACGATAAATAATAATATATTGTTGTAGACATCGCGAGGATTTGTTGACAAATGAGCAGTCGGATTTGTTATAAGTTCCATAGGAAACTGTTCCACAAGATCCTGCACAATATAATTGAACTCAAACTAAATGAAAAATAAAATTCAGCAATTATGGTAATATTAATATGATATTTAAAATTATTTTATGAGACAATTTAATTCTTAATGGTTCATTTAGAAATCAAACGGAATCTTTCGCTTTCACCGTCAGCAAATTGAAACCTCAACAGATTTTTTTTGTTGCTTGCTCATAGAAAGTTTAGTTAAATCAAGTTTTGCTTCAATTCTGCTATCTAAAAATTTTTTAATTTTATTTTCGCAAATTAAAAAATTTTGCCCCAAATTTGCTCTATATGGCAACTAACTGAGGGCCTTATTTCATATCTCATGGGTTTTTTTTTCGTAAAACAATAATATAGTGAAAACGGAGATAACTTCTAGCTTTATTAAGCACTGGAAATTTTTCACACTTGAAGTAAATTTTAATTTACGATAGCATTATGCTATAATAGCTGAATGAAAGATGAAGTAATCGTTACCCCATTTTCATCTTCAACCGAGACAATGGTAGGTCGTAATCTGAGTACCATTGGTTGCGCCCATATGGCGCTATTATTTTCAAGCTGCTTAAGCTTTCTAACTCCATCTTCTGGATGCTGCAAACCAAATTCTCGACCAACAGCAAATGTTGCTAAGTGTTCAACCCAATATGATGGCGTGTCATTTTCCACAATGCTTGGATGACGAGTAGTACCTGAAAAATAAATGAAGTAAGATTAAAAAATCACTGTCTATTTTATTTCAAATAAAAAAATTATGCATAATCAAAAGATAAATAACCATGTAGACTCATTGTTGAGTTTTCGATCACACCGTTGTATGAATGCGGTGGAACGCGATTATATGACAATACCGTTGGCGATGGTGCATTCGAAGATAACGAACCTCCGCCACGTGAATAGTAGTAGGAACCTGAACCAGATGCTGATGGATGACGGGAACTGGTTGGATAACAGCTAAAATTATAATAAACAAGCTACAGCTCTTGTCATGTTTATCTTTCACGTATAAGTTCAAGTCTTTAAGAAAATTTAAAATGTCTCATATTAATTTGATAAATAGTAAAGGTATAAGTAATATAATAAAGTAAACTTTGTGTTACGAGGAAATGCATGATTAAATTATCGAAATTATTTTGAACAGATTACTCATAGTCGTCATGTTGCTGCTTATACAGCTTAAATTGAGAAGACAAATTTATGATTTCATATTTTTTGTCTATTAAATATTTCATTTATTTGATCAGGATGTTAGATGGCTAGAAAAAAATTGTCGATAGTAATGTAAATATTTCATTGAGTATTCGAAAAAATGTGTAATAAATTTGTCCTACAACATTTTTTCCATCTTTCACTTAACTTTTATGCTATTTTAATGAAAAATAACACAATTATGTTTTAGAGATGACTGAAGAAAATAAGGCTTACCACAAAATGCTTGGTTAGAACAGAAAAATGTTTCGAACTTCAAATGATATAATATATGCTTGAAATAATGCATTGTAAGACAAATTCATTACACATTTTTTCGAATACTCAACGAAATATTTGAATAGTAATTCAAAAATCAAAATTATTTGTACAGAACTGTTTATATTCTCATCAATACCTTCTAATATTATTTATTAATAAATGAACTTCGTAATAAGTGTTGAGTGAAGAGAAACATTACTAAACGGTTTAAGGCAGGAACGGTTTATTCTATATTCTTATAAGAGCAATAACATTGCTACAGATAAAAACTGATAAGTGCATCTTATCGCATAAAAATTTTGATGTCTATCATAAAATTTCTCATTCTATTCGACAATATCATTCTATTTGATAGTAAAAAATGTGATAAAAATTAAAATTACACCCAGCTTTCCTTTGAGAAAATATCTATAGCAAACGAAGCGTTAATGCTTTAATAATGAGAATTTTCAAGTGAGGTTTGAAATTAAGCAAGAGATTGACCGATTAAGTTGTCTATCTGATCAAAATTAAATTAAATTTACATCAGTTTTTAAGTAAAAAAATCGGTGTAAATTTTATTATACTACAGTATTACTTGAAAAAATACATCTATAAGAACAGTTAGTATTACTTGACTAACTGTTCTTATAAATGTATTTTTTCAAGTCCTTCATTCTATTTCCTCAACTACTAAAGAGTAATAATCAGTTAGAGAAGATTATTATGGCTGTTATTAGGTAACAAATTGTAATTTTATCGCCTATTCATTATGGGTTACAGTAAATGCGATGCATTATTTTTTTAAAAAGTATAATTTTTGACAATCTCATAATAATTTTTTTCTGAAGTTTAAGTTACAAGGAATAAAAATTTGATTGTTGGAAGTGATAATCAATAAAAAGCAACTGGACTTGACTGAATTTTCTGAATTACTTTTTTGGGTTATATGTATGTATTTATTAGCTATAACAACCATTGTCAGTAATAATTTTCTACAGTATAAGATCAATGTAAATGTTTATTATCGGGTTATTTAATCATGATATATCGAATAGAAAATAGAAACAGCATCTGATCTAATCTCAAAATTGAATTTCTATCAATCTTCGAGATTAAATTTGCCACAACCAAACTTTAATGGTTACAACTACAAATGTAATATACGTGTTAAATTCCTTTTTATAGCATTTAATCTTCTCTTTTTGAAAATTCCAAAGATTTTCACATTTAATCCTAACCCTCCTTCTTTTTCATTGTTGCACATGAACACATGTGTTGTCGCACCAAAAAAAAAAGAAAGTTTGTAAATGGATGATATATCATAGAAGTCATGAAATTGCTGTGTTAAGAAAAAAAAGATAATTTACAACATGAGTCATTAGATAAAGAAAAAATGAATAAAGTAATTACTTATCGAATCTTCAATTTCCAAAACAATTCAAAATTTGTAATCAGAACTGCTACGTGATGAGTGTTATATTTTCCAACTTCAGTCTTACGCCTTGCATTGCTAAATTCCATTATATATCACATTCTACTATTATTATATGATACTTTAATATCAATACTCGGTAATAATCCTTTTTAATAACATACAAATAAAAAGTCAGTTTCATCAAAACAGCCATTTTGTTACACATAAATTTGCGCTGTTATTAAAATGGTAAAATTCAAATTTGTTTTATATTCCTCTTTAAAATTCATTTTTAGCTACGCAACACTGAAAAATACATAAATAAAATGCTCAAAATACATTTTCAGCCAGAATGATACCGGAAATTATTCTGAAGCCCTCCGGATTTCATAGTTTTGTCCCTACACTTAATCATTTCTATTTTGAAACTTGAAAAAAATTAAGACTAATAATGATTTAGTCAATTATTAATTTTATAGCTCATAATTTGCACTGTCAGAAATAATACATATGCGTTCAAAATCTTAATAAATATAAGTGATACACCTAATTATCATTTTACTGAATTTCAAATTAACTTGAAATTGTTGCGAAATTTCAAAAGTTTAGCTCAAATGAATTACGATTTAATAGTAGTTGATAATAGTGAGAGAAACTTATTAATTTTATGAATTCACCATAAATGTTAATAAATTTTAAAAAAGGAAAAAAACAGCTAGCAAAAGGTGTAAACTGATTGAAATGATAATAACAGTGAGAGGCATCACACTCAAAGATAAAACTTTGCATTGTGATAAAATTACCTGAAATATTAACACCATTTATATTTTATTTCTGCTCAGCAAAAATAGAGTACTAAGTATACAAGCACTATATAATGAGAATGAAATTGTCATGCTATTTGTCAATTTGGTAATAGATCACAAATAATGCTCTCCGTGTCGTGTTTACTTTTAACCATCAATCGATAATGATATTAGTTAGCATTAAATATTTTCAAATTGTTGTCAAAATGCAATATGCTCTGAAACTGATATACATATGAGAAGCAAATGGAATGGCGAAGTGCAATAAGAATGAGAAATATTTAGGATGATAAATACTAGAAAAAGAAGCAAGCTCCCAGCAAAAATCTCGATATTAACCAAACGAAAAATTTATTTTTGTTAGCAAAACTAATTACAATACTGATGAATACCTTTTAAAAAATGTCATTTGCTAAGCATAAAATAATTGTGTCGCATAAAAATTTTAAGAAATTTTCTACTACAAATAAAGTGCTTACATTATATATCATAGGTAGACGCTACAAGAATACAACCAACTAAGAGAGAGCAACGTTTAATAATCACGAAATGATTGCAAAAACATGGGACTGGTTTGGTTTGCAAAAGATTGAAAATATATTTGAAAATATATGAAATATATGTATATATAGATATATATTTATATATTTTTTTTTCTGAGAATTGATGTGCTGCACAGAAACCAGAAATTTTGAAAGAAAAAGGCCATCCTTCATTTACTTTACTCAATGCTTAAGAAAATACTTTTAAACGCTATACATGATATGAATCACAAAATAAGTAATCAATATTAAATGATTAAAAACATGAATAAATTCAGTACTTTATATTTTCAATCTGCAAAAGTTTTTAAACGTGAAAAAATTTAGCATAAAGTTTTCCAAATTTTTGCAACTTATTTAAAAAGGCACTTGATATACTCAACTAACCATGCCACTTACTCAGTTAACCATGCCAATCTCCGACTTTTTTTTTTTAAATTGTTGCTTTTTTTCTATGTAAGAACAAAAATTCACTTTTTGATTTCAAATTAATAAAACTTGATTTCTTTTTACAGATATTAAACTCTTATTTTTCAAAATAATCCATTAATTATTATAAAACTTACTTAGAAATTTCAAATGGTCCTGAATGATGGCGCCTGGGCGCATGCGCCCCAGGTATTGTTCGACGCGTTTTTGACAACAGGATTAGCTTACACTGAAGTCAGCGATAATGAATCATTGAACCTGAATTATGATAAGTAAATTGAATTTAAAATAAATCATGCGAAAAAATTTTGTGACTGCTAAAAACACATACTGCACTGAAATAACTTTATTATCATCTGAATGATTTTTTGGTAAGATAGAAAATTTTTAAAATTTATTCAAAAAAACATGAACTTTCATTTGAATCACATGATATACAATAGATATGCAGCAAAGAAAATGATTAAAATTCGAATAACTATGCAAGTTGGACGAGAGCACTTCGCATAGATTAAATTCAACAAAAATGATTTTTACAGTTACTGCATGAGGAAACCATTAATTTACAATAAGAACAAGACGAAATTTTGAAGTTTTGGTTCCCATGAAAATTTCTTCTTTCGATGTGAGACAATTAATTATTCCTTCGGAAATTAGAAAATTGTTTTCATAATTTAACAAATTTTAGAGATTTTCGTATTTAACAATGAGGAAGAGACTAATGAATGTGATCATATTAACTTCTGAAAACCTGTTTAAAAAGTGATTGTAGTGCTGCACGACAAAAAAACATTCCTGAATTCGATGAAAATACTAAAGTAGGATAACAGTGTATATCTGATGATGACACTGTGATGGCATCTATATCAACATCGATCAGGTGAGTAACAAGGTAAATAATACTAGCCCATAGACTGTAATAATAATTAAATAATTATTAATAGTAATCACTAAAAATAATAATACTGATAAATAATAATGAATAATAATAACAACAATAATAATAATAATAATAATAATAAATAAGAATAATGGACAAAAAAGTGAAAGTTTTAATAAACATTCAGAAATAAAATGTAATTACTTTTTTATTCATGAACTGTAACTCTTTTATTCATAAAAGAGATATTGTTAACCAAGAATTATGAAATTTAAGCAAGAAATTTCATTGATAATTAAGATTTAATGAATATTTTGCTGTCTTTTATATGAAATCTAAGTTCTGATTATTTTCTTGTACTTCTACAGAATCAAAAATTATATCATCTACAAACCCTACTATATGCTCATTCTTACAAAAATATTCACTATCATTTCCAGCTATGTTGCGCAAAAAAAATATATATAGTAAAACAGTAATTTATTGAATTTTCTATAATTTCTCAAGTTCGATAAGGCTTAACAGATCACATTTTATTAAAGTCATAAATTTAAGACTAAATAATAGATAAAGAACATTAATTTGACTT